ACACCTATAATCCCAACACTTTGGGAGGCTGAGGTGGTGGGGGTGATCACTTGAGGCCAGGAGTTCATCCTGAGCAACATAGCAAGACCCCTAACTTCACAAAACATTTAAAACTTAGCTAGACATGGTGGTGCACACCTGTAGTCCCAGCTACTCAGGAGGCTGAAGTGGGAGGATGGCTTGAGCCCAGGAGGCTGAAACTGCAGTGGGATCTCATCACACGGCTGCACTCCAGCTTGGGTGACAGAGTAAGGCTTTGTTTCTGAAAAACAAAACAATAAAAGAAAGATTAGGAGGACACAGTCCCACTGTAGGGAAGCCAGCAGTCCCTGTCCAGCCCCTGGTGCACCAGGGCAAAGCCTTATTCATCTCAAGCCTCTCCCTCTGCGATTCATCAAGCAGAGCTAATCACATCCTTCCTTCCTCGGGTTACTCTGCTGTCTAGTAAAACTTTTAGGGTATGATCTCCTTCTGGGGTGTGATCTCCCTCTGGGGTGTAACTACTTGAGGACTGAGACCCTTTCCTGTTTGTCTTGCTTCTCACAGTGGCCAGCCCAGAGCCTAGGTCCCATGGGCAGCCCATGTGTGTGGGATGAGTGGTATGAGGAACAAATGTGCCCCAGGCAGCGGTTAGGGCAGAGAGGAGGAAGTCAAGTTATTAGCAAAATACTCAAGACTCCAGCATCCTGAGTCCTGTCCTTAGCCTGAACTAGCTGGGTGACCTGAGTCAGACCACCCAACTACTCCATGCCTCAATTTTGCATCTGTGAAACAGGGGTGACAGCAGCCCCCATCACAGGGCTGCTGTGAGGGTTCAATTAGCTAATACAAATAAAGCACAATAGCAAAGACACAGAACCAACCTGGATGCCCATCAATGGTGGCTTGGAAAACATGCTACACACACCATGGAATACAATGCTACACACACCATGGAATACAATGCAGCCATGAAAAAGAATGAAATCACGTCATTTACTGCAACATGGGTGCAGCTGGAGGTCATAGTCCTAAGCGAATTAACGTAGGAACAGAAAACAAAATACTGCATATTCCTGTGTATCGGGGGAGCTGAACATCGGGTACACAGGCACGTAAAGATGGGAAGAACAGACACTGGGGCCTCCAGAAGGGGAAAGGGAGGGAGGGGAGCAAGGGTTGAAAAACTACCTATTGGGTACTCTGCTCACTGGGTGACAGGGTCAACAGAAGTGCAAACCTCAGCACCCTGCAATATACCTGTGTAATAAAGCTGCACATGTATCCCCTGAATCTAAAATTTTAACAAAGAAGCCAGGCGCAGTGGCTCACACCTGTAATCCCAGCACTTTGAGAGGCCGAGGCGGGTGGATCACTTGAGGCCAGGAGTTCCAGATCAGCCTGGCCAACATAGAGAAACCCTGTCTCTACTGAAAAAATAAATAAATAAAAAAGAGAGGAGAAAAATATTGTTTTTACTAAGAAAATAAATAAGGAGCATGGTGCTATAAATGTCAGCACGGCAGCTCCTGCATCGGCCGCCGATGTCATCACCCCATGCCTGCTTCTCCTTTCCACCTACCGAGCCGCCCAGACAGCGCTCCCAAACCGCAAATCCCGACAGAACGCCGCGCCTTCAGGGTGCCTTCGGAGCAGAGCGTCTTCCCGAGTACCTCTGTCTGTACGTGTATATTTCTACACTGTAGAATTAAAATAAATTGCATGTTAAGAAAATGTTGGGGGGGGGCAGCAGGGATTGTCCTTCAAAGAGAGAAGTGAGACCTACTGCGAGTCGGGAGAGGCGGGGCGGAAACTTTAGGGTAACTCCACTAGGGCCCCGTGGGTGAGTGTGGGGCGGAAACGAACCCAGAAATCCGAGGGTTTCTACCCACAAGGTTTCTGTTCTCTTCTTTCCATAGAAAACAAAGGACCCAGGAGACAGACCCCAAATTTTTCGGTTCCACTTAGACAAATGAGATTTGAATTAAGGCAGCAGCGTTCGACCTGGCTTCTCCATATCCGCCTCCTTCCCTGTTCGTCCCAGAACCACGCCCCCCTACCCCAACCTGCTGCCCTGCTGGAACCTCCTTCTACCAGAGCCCCTGGGCTCAGGGATGGAGCAGGAACTGATCGGATGAGGATCAGTCCAGGACAGGCTGGCTGCTCTCCAGACTCCCCCAGACCCTCCCTCTACCCTTGACCTCTTGCCATGGGCTCAGCCTGAGCTCTGAGCACCCCAGGGGCTGAGCACCTCAGGATCCCACAGGGCTGAGGAGGTGGGTGATGGGCAGCCCCTCCTTCCTTGCTTACATCATTTCCCCAGCTGCCATCCTTCCTCTGGAAACGTCGAGTCACGATTCACTGCAGTGGGGCTGTGAGTTTTAGACTCCCTGAGGTCCTGGTTGCAAGCCCCAAGGCTCTCATCTGTAAAGGGGGTGGGTTGAGATGAGGACTCCTCATGTCTTCCTCTTTGCTGAGCCTGAGTTGTCTGTTCCAAAAGCGAAAGGTCTCACCATGGCTTTCTTCCAATTTGAGTTCACCTTGACTCAGCCGGGGGAACCGTGGGAGTTGGTGGGCAGCTTGAGAGGAGATGGGGTCTCTCATGCATCTGGGGTCCTCCTCTCCTGCCTCCTCCACCTGAGTGGACCTCAACCAGGAGAAAAGGGGCAGCAAGGCCAGGATCGTGGCCTCCTCGAAGGCGAGGCCTCTCTGGCCCTCACCCTGCCTGTAAGCCCAGCCCTGCGTCCCCAGTTGCTGGTTTCTCTTTTTTTAATCCCTCCAGAACCTGCGCCACTTCTCCTCTTTTTTGGGTTTTTCTGTTGCTGTTTCCTTCTTGGCGTTCAACCCACCATCTTCTCTCTCTGCGGTTTTCCTCATCTCCCCCTTTCTCCAGGGCCCTCCCCCAGCCATGCTGCTCCGAAGTGTGGGGTCCGAGGCTCTCACTGCAGGTGACAGTGCTGCTGTTTTCTTCACACTGCCCTTCCTCGGCCCACGCCAGTGTGGCCTCCCTGCTGCCCCAGTGTGGCCCACTCTGGGGTCTCTGATGGCCTCTGGGGCCAGAGCTGGGAACGTTCTCATCTCTTCCCTCACTGGATGTCTGGCAGCCTGTGCCATGGTTTGTGTCCCTGGTCCTCCTGCCTGTCTCTCTTCCGGCCTCCTCCCGCCTCTCTGTGGGGCCTCCTCAGTCTTCAGGTCTTCGCTGCTGTTTCCATGGCCCGCATGCACCTTCCTTATCACACTCTCACCAGGACCTCGCCCGGTGCTTCTGCCGATGGGTCCAGAACGGAGCTATTCCTGAGGTCCAGACCCACATACATACCCAACTGCCTCCGACCTCTCTCTCGGAGGTTCCACAGACAGCCCCTTCCCACCAGGACAGCTGTCACAGCACAGCAATGATCAGAGACGGCAGCCCAGGCTCCCACCCACTCTCCCAAGCCCTCCACACCCACTCAACTCTCCCAGCAATGACAGGGGATGTGGTCCCCATGAATTCCCTTCCATGCTCCCCTCTACCCTCAGAATAAAATCAATGTGTCTTTATTGGGTGTGGTGGCTCACACCTGTGATCCCAGCACTTTCAGAAGCTGAGGCAAGAGGACTGATTGAGGCCAGGAGTTTGAAACCAGCCTGGCCAACATGGGGAAACCCTGTCTCTACTAAAAATAATGATCATAAAAAAAATTAAGATGCATTGATGCAATCCTATAGTCCCAGCTACTTGGGAGGCTGAGGCGGGAGGTCCTTTGAGCCCAGGAGTTCGAGACTACAGTGAGCTATAATCACACCACTGCACTCCAGCCTGGGTGACAGACCAAGATCCTGTTTCTTTTTTTTTTTTTTTTAATTTTTTATTGGATTTTAGGTTTTGGGGTACATGAGCAGAGCATGCAAGACAGTTGCGTACGAACACACATGGCAGTGTGCTTTTCTTTCCTTCACCCCTTCACCCACATTTGGCATTTCTCCCCAGGCTATCCCTCCCCACCTCCCCCTCCCACTGGCCCTCCCCTTTTCCCCCCAATAGACCCCAGTGTTTAGTACTCCCCTTTCTGTGTCCATGTGTTCTCATTTTTCATCACCCGCCTATGAGTGAGAATATGCGGTGTTTCATTTTCTGTTCTTGTGTCAGTTTGCTGAGGATGATGTTCTCCAGATTCATCCATGTCCCTACAAACGACACAAACTCATCATTTCTGATTGCTGCATAATATTCCATGTTTCTGAAGAAAAAAAAAAAAGATGTGCATACAATAGGGTGGCTTCCGGGGGGCCTGGGGCCTGCTTCCCCTTCCTCTCCTCCCAGCCGCCCTGACCTTGTCTCTTACCATTTCCCACCTCCGACTGTCTGGTTCCCATCACTGATTTTACACACAGGCCCTCCTGTCTCCTGCCTTGTCCATGTCTGGCTGCCCTGTCATCTCCTGAGTTCGATTGCTTTCAATGCTCAGCTCAAGCACCACCTCTTCCAGGAAGCCCTCCCCGAGAGCCACACCTTCCCAGCCTGGGTGAGGCACCCTGTGGTCTCTGCTCTTCCCCCTCACAGCAGTGAGCTTCTTATTTATGTATCTGCCTCTCTGCTGACACCAGGGCTGGGGCTGTATGGTTTATGTTTTCTTCTCCACCTAGCAGAGGGCTTGCATCTCCAGGCTCAAATTAGGCTTCTTGAGTAAATGATGAATGAAGGAGTGAATGAATAAATGAATGAGTACTTGCTCTGTGCTCTTCCTAGGGACCTGGATGCCCCATTCCTTGGCCCAGACTTTCCAGGTCAGAGTGGAGGGCTTCCACCAGGGTTTCCTTCAGGGTCCTGAGGGGCTGGCTTCTGCCCACCCCCTCCAGTCTGGCTGAAATTTCAGGGTCAAGGGCACCTTCTGCCAGTCATGGGGAGCCTGGGAGGGCAGGGCAGGGATTTGCATCCACTCAAACAAAGAGCATCAAGCCAAGTCATATGATGAGAGTGACTCTGGCCAGGGGGTGGGCGAATGGGCCAGTCCTTGGTTCAGTTGCGTTCTCTGCCCGCCCCGTCTGACTCATCCTGACAACTTTCTTCCTGCCCCTGGCCACCTCTCTGGCCACTTGCTTCCTCAGTACGTTGGTCTAGCTCTTCCTGAAACAGCCCAGGAGCTCAGAGCTTCGCGTCTGACCTTCCAGTCATGACCAGGACCAGGGCAGCACTCCTCCTGTTCACAGGTGAGCCTGGGTCCCAAGGAAGTGGGACTGGGGGACCCAGGCCCAAGGGAGCCAAGGACCTGAACTGGGGGTTCAGGCTGGGGGGTCAGGATCTGGGTAGGAAGAGAGACTCAGGCAGGAGGGAGAGGCTGGCACATAGGGTTTGGGATCTGGAGTTTGTGGAGTGTTGGAAACAAATACTCAGTGCCGCAAAGGAAAGTTAGCACTGAGACAAAGGATCTTTCAGCAACACAATTTTTACCTCCTGGACTGCAGGAGAGGTACTCTCACCAGCCATCTTGCCAGGAGAGTGCAATTAACAAAGGAAAAGCAGATATATTTATCCCTTATCCATTTGGGGTTGTCCTTACTGCTGTGTCTGATCTCCGTTGGCTGGAGCCAGACCTTACAACCTAACCTAAAACCTGATTGGCTAACAACTTAAAAGTTTTCTAAACAGGTAAAAGCAATGGAAAGCTGGGACATGCCTGTGAGCACGTCCGGCACAGATATCTTTGTTAACTAGGGTTAAAGTACAAGGGCGTAGAATATACTATGTGCCTGTAAGCATGGCATGTTTAATAGCTACATAGAATAGGGCTTACCAAGAGGATACTCTTTAACAAGTGTTATTCTCTTGTTAAAGAATGACACTTATGATTTATTCTTTAACAAGAAAGGAAACTTTAAGGAGGAACATTTTTACTTCCCACGTGGAGGGAGAGGATATGGATGAATCAATTTTGGGGAGTTCCAGAGATGCCAGAAGAGAGAACAGTTGTCATGACACTCCAGAGAGTTTTAATCTTTTTATTTTTCTTTCTTGAGACAGAGTTTTGCTCTTTTTGCCCAGGCTGGAGTGCAGTGATGCAATCTCAGCTCACTACAACCTCTGCCTCCTGGGTTCAAGTGATTCTCCTGTCTCAGCCTCCCGGATTACAGCACCCACCATTGTGCCTGGCTAATTTTTTTTGCATTTTTAGTAGAGACAGGTTTTCATCATGTTGGCCAGGCTGGTCTGGAACTCCTGACCTCAGGTGATCCATGCACCTTGGCCTCCCAAAGTGCTGGGATTACAGGCATGAGCCACCGTGCCTGGCCTCAGAGATTTTTAAAATAGGCAGAATGTGCCAAGCTTGTGCTCTGTGCACAGCATACCTTTGGTTCCCAAGTTTTCCTGGACATAACACCCCAGGGGCGCAGTGGGGAAAGATCCTCTTTAGAACCTTAGTACTGCTCTGCAGAAACAGAGAACTGAAACTCGACAGTGGATGGTGGGCAAGGGGCCACTCTGGACCCTCGGAAGGAGAGAAGGGGATGAGTTAGGTGTCCAAAAGACCCAGGCACCCCGGGCATCAGACTTAGAGGCCCCCACTGGGGCCAGGGGTGGGGGGCAGCCAGGCAGAAGGAAGACCCTTCTCCAAAGCTCTCTTCCCACCTCCTCCCCAGCCTTAGCGACTTCCCTGGGTTTCAACTTGGAGACAGAGCAGCTGACAGCCTTCCGTGTGGACAGCGCTGGGTTTGGAGACAGCGTGGTCCAGTACGCGAACTCCTGGTGAGGCCCGGGTGGTGCTGGCCTTCAGCTTCATCCATCCTCTTCCTGCTCAGGGCCCCGTGCTCCCCACCCTGCCCTGTTATTTGCAAACGCTCCTCTCTGTCTGGTGTAGTGACTGCCCTGGCTTATGCAGATTTGCCCTGAAAGCAGGCCCGGTCTCACAGCTAACATTTACAGAGCAGTCAGTGCAGAGCCAGGCTCATCACAGGGGACGCGGCAACCTGTGAGTCAGAGTTAGTCGTGCACAAGACACGTATTTGTTTTTCTCTCTTTTTTTTTGTACACATTAAAAAATAGAGAGAGACTGGTCTCAAACTCCTGGGCTCGAGGGATCCTCCTGCCTCAGTCTCCTAGAGTGCTGGGATTCCAGGTGTGAGCCGCCGTGCCCAGACTCAACAAATATTTCTTGAGCATCTACTATGTCTCCATACGCCAGAAAATCCAACAGACAGAAATCCCTCCCACATGGAATTTAAATTATTAAAACCCATCTTGCAGATGAGGAAGCTGAGGCTGGGAGAGGAAATGTGAACTTGCCGGAGGCAGCTGTGCCCACTGTCCACACTCTCACCTGCAGTGTCTTCTCTCCCTGCAGGGTGGTGGTTGGAGCCCCCCACGAGATGACGGCTGCCAATCAAACAGGAGGCCTCTACCAGTGCAGCTACAGCACCGGGGCCTGTCAGCCCATCAGCCTGCAGGGTGAGTCACTGGCCGCCCGGGACCCAGGGCCAGGCTCCCAGGCTCCCCTGCTCCAGGGCCCCGTGCTCATTGGAGTTTCACTTCCAGCTTCTGCTGTGTCTGAGACCTTCTCCCTCAGACCTGCTCCCTGCCCATTGCACCCCTGCGGCTCTGTCAAGACCCGACAGCCCCCTTTGCCATCAGACCTCCTTGTCTCCCAGGTGGAGGTGACCCCTGCCCAGCTCTTCCACAGCCTTGTCTGTCCCCCTGAGGGTGACCATGCACATATCTGTCCCCACAGTCCCCCCGGAGGCAGTGAACATGTCCCTGGGCCTGTCCCTGGCGGCTACCACCAGCCCCTCCCAACTGCTGGTGAGTGGCCTTGGGTCACAGGAGGTCCCTGCAGAGGGAGGGGGGACCCGGGACCTTAGGGATTGGGGATCTCGTGTAGGGTGGAGGTGCTGAAATGCAAGGGTGGGAGGGAGCAGGGGCAGCCCCCCAGCAGCCCGCTGTGTCCCCAGGCCTGCGGCCCCACCATGCACCACGCATGCGGGAGGAACATGTACCTAACTGGACTCTGCTTCCTCCTGGCCCCTGCCCACCTCACCCAGAGGCTCCCAGTGTCTATGCAGGGTGAGTGTTGGGGCCACTGGAGGGCTTTGAGGAGCTTACGCGCATCCAACTAGGGGTGCAGTGGGCCAGAGACACTCTTGCCAGAGTAGATCAGAAAGAGGAGCTCTGGAAAAAGAATTACCGCATGGTCCAGTGGTTCCTGATGCTACTGCCCACACACCCTGCCCGTCGCCCGCACGCCACGTGACCTTTCCTGCAATCTTAACCTCTCCAAGCCTCAGTTTCTTCATCTGTTGGATGGGGAGAATAACACACCCAGCACTGAAGTAACAGATGATTTATGGTCAGGGGTTAGCACAGCAGCTGGCACCAGGCGACAGCCCTGTGAAGGCCCACTGCTGTTATTTTTAGAGAAGGGGATCTATTTTCATCCAATGGGTCCTGGGATATGACCAATTGGTTTGTGCAGTTGGAAAGGTCAGTGAAAGTACAGTGTGTGTATGTGTGTGTACATGTACGCATGTGCATGCATGCATGTACACACATATGCATGTGTGTATGCGTCTGTGTGTGTGTGTGTGTGTGTGTGCACATGCAGGTTGAGGTGCAGGGCCTGGCTTCCCTGGTGTTGTTGGGGAAGAAAGATAAGGAAGCGGAACAGTGGGCATTTCAGACCGTGCGGGCTGAGGCCTCCCCCTGGTTTCACATTTGCTCTCAAGCCCTTGGTGAGACTGACATCTGGCTGCAAATAGGGTGTGCCTTCCAGCACCTCTGTGGGTCCAGACTCCACCCACAGGGGCCTGGCACCCATCAGAATGCCCAGGATGCCTGTCTCTCTAGTGGAGGTCTCTGGGGCAGAGGGGACACTGAGAGGTCGTGTGGAAGGGGGTCTCCTCTCCAGGTGCTGGAAGAACGTCCTCTTCCCAGGGAAGATGCTGCTTTCACACAGGTGGGGAGTGGGGACCTGTATTTAAACTGGGAACAGAACAGTCCCAGTGTGTGGCTGCTCCTGGGATGATTAATTTAAAATATTAACAATCAAGGCAGAAGGGTTGTTTGAGGCCTGGAATTTGAGACCAGCCTGGGCAATAGAATGAGACCTCATCTCCACAAAAATAAAAATAAAAAGTAGGTGGGTGTGGTGTTACATACCTGAAGTCCCAACTACTCGGGAGGCTGAGGCAGGAGAATTGCTTGAGCCCAGGAGTTGGAGGCTGTAGTGAGCTATGACTGCACTGCACCACTGCACTCCAGCCTGGGTGACACAGCGAGACTCCGCCTAAAAAAAAAAAATTAACAAAACTGCACTTTGGGAGGCCGAGGTGGGTGGATCACAAGGTCGGGAGTTCCGGATCAGCTTGACCAACATGGTGAAACAACGTCTCTACAAAAATTAGCCAGATGTGGTGGTGTGAAACTGTAATCCCAGCTATTCAGGAGGATGAGGCAGGAGAATCGCTTGAACCCAGGAGGCGGAGGTTTTGGTGAGACGAGATCAAGCCACTGCACTCCAGCCTGGGCAACAGCCAGACTCCATCTCAAAAAAAAAAAAAAAAATCAAAAACATGAAACAATACAAAAAACCAAACTACCATTCAGCCCTGTGCAGTGAAGACAAACACTGACCAGGGGCTGGGATCAGGTCGTGTCATTGCTGGAGGGGGTGACACTGGGGAAGGAAGTGGGAAGGGTCCAGGGAGGGCACAGATATCCAGAATGGAGGGGGAGGGGGAGGCCCTCACTTCCTGCCATCTGAATTGGAGAAATCCTCCTTTTTTTTTTTTTTTTTTTGAGACAGAGTCTTACTCTGTCACCCAGGCTGGAGTGCAGTGGTACAATCACAGCTCACTGCAGCCTTCGGCTCCTGGGCTCAAGTGATCCTCCGACCTTAGCCTCCAGAGTGACTGGAGCCACAGCCACCATGCCCACACCCAGCTGATTTTAACAATTTTTAGTAGACGTGAGGTCTCACTATCTTGTTTAGGCTGATCTTGAAATTCTGGGCTCAAGCAGTCCTCCTGCCTAGGCCTCCCAAAGTGCTTGGATTACAGGCGTGAGCCACTGTGCCCAGTCTGACCTTTACTTTCTTATCGACCGGGCTGGCTTCGCAGGAGTGAGCAGCTTCAACACAGACGCTTTATGCAACTGTAAGAGAATGAAGGGGCTTGTCCCAGGCAGAGGGGTAGGGAAGCCCTGCCCCCGATGAGGAGAGGACCCAGGACCCAGGGTGTGGAGCCTGACTCCCATCGTCAAACTAGGGGCTTAGGTGAGGAAGGGTGTTGGGAGAGTGAGCTCTTGTGGCCAGGAGGCCACGGTCCTGGGCTCTGGGAGTGTCGCTTGGAGGACCCATGCCGCCTCCTTCCCCAGAGTGCCCGAGACAGGAGCAGGACATTGTGTTCCTGATCGATGGCTCGGGCAGCATCTTATACAACAACTTTGCCATGATGAAGAGCTTCGTGAGAGCTGTGATGAGCCACTTCCAGAGACCCAGCACCCAAGTATGCCTTCGGAGGAGGGAGGCTGCTGGGATGGGTGCTTGGACCCTGGTGAAATGGTCTCAGCCCTGGCCCTGTGTGCTTCTCCCAGTTTTCCCTGATGCAGTTCTCCAGCAAATTCAAAACACACTTCACTTTCGAGGAATTCAGGGAGAGCTCAAACCCCCTCAGCCTGTTGGCTTCTGTTGACCAGCTGGGAGGATACACACACACGGCCACCGCCATCCAAAAAGTTGTGTGAGTCTTGACTTCTCCCGAACAGTCCCAAAGCACCCAGGTCTTCCTTTGGGACTCATCTGCCTCCGAAAGAAGGGGACAGGCAGGGACCGAAATCCAGCCAGTGATACCCTTGCCAAGGTGGGACCTCTGGGTGGGAGCGGGTCCTCCCAAAGGAAGGGGTACCTTCTCATTTTCACAAGGGCACCAGTGGCTAGTGTGGTTTTGTTCACAGGCCTCTAAGACCTCTTCTTTCCTGATAGGAAAGAATTGTTCCTTGCCTCAAATGGGGCCCGCAGAGAGGCCACCAAGATCCTCATTGTCATCACTGATGGGAAGAAAGAAGGCGACTGGCTGGACTATGATGATGTCATCCCCATGGCGGACAAAGCAGGCATCATCCGCTATGCAATTGGGGTAGGGCATGGCGACGCCTTCCTCATTCTCCCTCGGCTTCCTCTGAGGGCAGCTTCCCAAGCTTTTCTCTTTGAGACAGGTCTTGCTCTGTCTCCCAGGCTGAGTGCAGTGGTGCAATCCTAGCTCACTGCAGCCTCAAACTCCTGGGCTGCAGTGATCCTCCCACCCCAGCCTCTCCAGTAGCTGGAACCACAGGCGTGTGCCACCACACCTGGAAATTTTTATTTTATTTTATTTTATTTTTCTTTTTTCATAAGCCTACAGCACCAGGTATTCCAAGGTTGTCTCCCATCCAAGTACTAACCAGGCCCGACCCTGCTTAGCTTCCGAGATCAGACGAGATCGGGCGCTTTCAGGGTTGTGTGGCCATAGGCGCGATTTTTATTTTTTTGTTTTTGTTTTTTGGTAGAGATAGGTCTTGCTGTGTTGCCCGGGCTGGTCTCTAATTCCTGGCCTCAAGCAATTCTACCACCTTGGCCTCCCAAAGCACAGGGATTACAAGCATGAACCACCGCCAACAACATCTCTTTCAAGGGTAGAGACGCCAGCTCTGTCGGCTCTTACTGCCTTCAGGATGAAAACTCTGGCCCAGCCTGGGGACCGTGGTCCTTTCTCCTAAGCTCTCTGATGCTGCCCGGGAGCTCGTGCTTCCCGTGTGTCTGATGGGTTCCGTCCTGTCGATCCTGCAGGGTTATTGGAGGATGCTACACCCAGTGCACACAGACACATTCCGTTCATTATTTTCACTGAGTTGATCTTTTCTGGGGACAGGTTGGTTCAGCTTTTCAAAACAGAAATTCCTGGAAAGAATTAAATGACATTGCATCGAAGCCCTCCCAGGAACACATATTTAAAGTGGAGGACTTTGATGCTCTGAAAGATATTCAGAACCAACTGAAGGAGAAGATCTTTGCCATTGAGGGTGAGTCTAAAAGGGAGCTCTTCGCTTGGGAAATTCTCAGCTGTGACGCCTTTCCCTTTAGCACCCGAGGAGGCTCCATGGAACCCACAGACAGCAGCCTGATTCTCCCTTCTCCTTCCCTCCTGGGGCCCTGATGTCCGTCAGCTTGCCCCCATTCACATCCCCCAGCACTGTCAGAGCCGCCCCAAAGCAGCCCAAGGAGTGTCCCTGCTCCCCACAGAGAATGATTTCACACCACCACCTGCTCCACTGCAGTGCCATGCCCAACCCAGGAGACCCTTCCATCCTCACCAGGCCCCATCCTGCCCAGGTCCCACCAGCCACTCACCACCCTCGGCAAGGGGCACATGGGCACTTGGTCCTCTCAGGTCTGCTCGTAGTAATAGGGTCCCCCATGAGGACCTGGTCAGTGCTGCGGTCGCTGTCCATGTCCGCGGAGCAGAGGGGATCCCCGAAGTCGGAGCCGATCTGGAGGGCAGAGCCTGGTCCCTGTCACAGGCACCAGCCCTTCCTGTAGCCTTCTGTCTTAGCTTCTCCTAAAGCTGAGGTGTTCTCAGACCTGGCAAAGCCCGCCTCCCTCCCTGGCACTCAAGCGTCATGCCTTCCCCCAGGTACCGAGACTACAAGCAGTAGCTCCTTTGAATTGGAGATGGCACAGGAAGGCTTCAGTGCTGTGTTCTCACCTGTGAGTGGGGCCTCTTAGGCTGATGATGTGTGGTAAGGGGAGGGGTGGAGCAGGGAAGGCTAGGGTGCATGACAGGTGGGCGAGAGGCACGGGAGGCAGGCCTATCTTTGGGACACGCTGTCTTCCTGCTCTGGCCTCTGCTCAGCCCTGGAATCTTTTCCTCCCAGGATGGCCCCATCCTGGGGGCTGTGGGGAGCTTCAGCTGGTCTGGAGGTGCCTTCCTGTACCCCTCAAATATGAACCCCACCTTCATCAACATGTCTCAGGAGAATGTGGACATGAGGGACTCTTACCTGGGTGAGAAATGGCAAGGGGCTGGGAACAGGTGGGAGAGTGTGCTGCCCAGGGTGGGGTCCAGGGTTCTGGGGGGGGATGGGGTCTGTGCTGGCTGGATTGGGGTCTAGGGTTCTGGGGAGGGGGATGGGGGCTGTGCTGGCTGCAGTGTGGTCCAGGATTCTGGGCACGGGGGATGGGGGCCTTTGTGCTGAGGCCTGGACCTCTCAGGTTACTCCACCCAGTTGGCCCTGTGGAAGGGGGTACAGAGCCTGGTCCTGGGGGCCCCCCGCTACCAGCACACCGGGAAGGCTGTCATCTTCACCCAGGTGTCCAGGCGATGGAGGATGAAGGCCGAGGTCACAGGGACCCAGGTTGGGCGTGGTGGGAGCCAGAGGCGAAGATGAGGGTGTGGGCGGTGAACGGGGCAGAGGAGAGGAGGGAGGGGCTTTGAGGGCCTTTGGGGAGGTCCTGGTACCTGGGGAGAGGTGGGACCTGGCCCTCAGGGCTGCCTCTGGTGGGGCAGGCAGCATGACCAGCCTCTGCCCTCCAGATAGGCTCCTACTTTGGGGCCTCCCTCTGCTCTGTGGACATGGACAGCGATGGCAGCACCGACCTGATCCTCATCGGGGCCCCGCATTACTATGAGCAGACCCGAGGGGGCCAGGTGTCCGTGTGCCCCTTGCCCAGGGGGGTGAGTGGCCGATGGGACCTGGGCTGGGTGGGGTCTGGTGTGGGTGGAGGGGTCGCCTGGGTTGGGCCTGACACTGCTTGTGTTCTGCAGTGGAGCAGGTGGTGGTGTAATGCGGTTCTCCGAGGGGAGCAGGGCCACCCCTGGGGCCGCTTTGGGGCAGCTCTGACAGTACTGGGGGACGTGAATGGGGACAAGCTGATGGATGTGGCCATCGGGGCCCCAGGAGAGGAGGAGGACCGGGGTGCTGTCTACCTGTTTCACGGAGACTCGGGACCCAGCATCAGCCCCTCCTACAGCCAGGTGAGGCTGGATGCATTTCTGTCACTACAGCAGCCTCCTCCTTGCCTCTCCCCACCTGTCATACTAGAAAACTGTCACTTTTTACCGTTTCCTACCTCCCTTGCCCAGCTCTGAGCACCCTGTATTTGCAAGGAAATGCTGTGTGATGTGGGGACTGGGAGCAGAGTGCACTGCTCTGCACACGGACGTGACATCTGAGTGGGTTCCACTCCCAGCCTATCTGTCCCCCACCACTTTTTTTTTATTTGAGATGGAGTCTTGCTCTGTCACCCAGGCTGGAGTGCAGTGGCATGGTCTCGACTCACTGCAACCTTTGCCTCACGGTTCAAGTGATTCTCCTGCCTCAGCCTCCCCCGTAGCTGGGATTACAGGTATACATCACCACTTCTGGCTAATTTTTCTAATTATTAGTAGAGACAGGGTTTCACCATGTTGGCCAGGCTGGTCTTGAACTGGTGACCTCAGGTGATCTTCCCATCTTGGCCTTCCAAAGTGCTAGGATTATAGATATGAGCCACTGTGCCCAGCCCCCTGCCAGTTTTACAAGCTACACAGGCCAGGCACAGAAAACTCATTTTACAGATAGAATCTGGGGCACGGGGAAGACAAGGGCCTTGGTTCAGAGTGGTCTGAGATGGTGAGGGGTGCTCTGGCCTTCTACCCTCTAACCCAGCGTGCAGTCTTGGGGCTCCCTGCTGCTAACCCTTAGATCTAGTCATCTCAGCCTGCCCTTTCACTCACCCCTTGCCTCCCTGGATGCTACATGGTTTTATTCCTTCCTGCCATCGAGGTCCCCCCAAATGCTCATTCCTGCAGGCCTCTACCCAAGGGAGCAGGGTTCCCTGAGAACAAAGGGCTGCTTTTGTTGACAAAAGTCAAGAAAGCCCTGTCAAAAAATAGGCAAAGGGGCAGCTCGAGATGGCTCTCATCTGTGACTCCAACACTTTGGGAGGCCAAGGCAGGAGGATCGCTTGAGGCCAGGAGTTTGAGGCCAGCCTGGACAACATAGGGAGACCCCATCTCTGTAAAAAAATTTAAAAAATTAGCCAGGCATCGTGGTGCTATAGTAACTGTAGTCCCAATTACTCGGGAGGCTGAGGTGGGAGGGTCGCCTGAGCCCAGGAGGTTGAGGCTGCAGATTGTATCACTTCACTTCAGCCCAGGTGACACAGCACAACCCTGTGTCACCAAAAAAAAAAAAAAAAAAAAAAAGGCAAACGATGTGGATAGGGATAGACGTTTCTCCAAAGAAGAGGTACCAAGGGCCAGTGAGTGAATACAATGATTCTCTATGTCATCAGTCATCAGCAAATAAAAACTATAATGAGATGCCACCTCTCACCTACAAGAATGGCTAGAAACAAAGACAGATAATGACTGATGTGGTGAGGATGTGGAGAACCAGGCATCCTCCTGCTGCTGGGGTTGGTGTAAATCCACTCAGTGGCTTTGGAAACCAGTCTGGCAAGTCCTCAAAACGTTAAACACAGGCCAGTTATGATGGCTCATACCTGTAATCCCAGCACTTTGGGAGGCTGAGGTGGGTGAATCACTTGACGTCAGGAGTTTGAGACCAGCCTGGCCAACACAGTGAAACCTATCTCTACTAAAAATACAAAAGAAAAAAAATTAGCCAGGCGTGGTGGCGGGTGCCTGTAATCCCAGCTACTCGGGAGGCTGACGCAGGAGAATCACTTGAACCCGGAGGCAAAGGTTGCAGTGAGTCGAGACCATGCCACTGCACTCCAGCCTGGGTGACAGAGTGAGACTCCAACTCAAAAAAAAAAAAAAAAAAAAAAAAGTTAAACATAGAGTTGCCATGTGATCTGGCAATTCCACCTGGAAAATATGCTAAGTGACGGAAGCCAGGCACAGAAGGCCACATGTATTCAGGCCAAGGGGCCAGAACAGGCAAATCTGTAGAGACAGAAAGTAGATGAGCGGTTGCATAGGGCTGGGTGTGGGGGGCAGCCAGGGGCATGAGGGTGACTGCCAACGGGTGTGGAGTGCCTTTTTGAGGTAGTGGAAATGCTCTAAAATTGATTGTGGTAGTGGTTTCACAACTGAAACATACCAGAAACCACTAAAGTCATATACTTTAAAGGGGTGACTTGTGTGCTCTGTGGTCCATAGCTTAAAAAAGTCATTACCAAAAAGAAAAAAGTGCCAGGGAAGGTTCCTGCAGTTCTGTCACACACCAGCTGTGTGATCTTGGTCAGGTAACTCACCCTCTCTGTGCTCAGTTTTCTCATCGGTAAAATGGTGGTAATAATAGAACCAACCTCATTGAGCTGCTGCTGTGAGGATTACATGAGTTAGTATGCGTGAAGTGCTTATCACAGTGCCTGGCACACAATAGGCATCAGGTTGTTATAATCTGTTATAACTATCATTAAAATAGTTTAACAACCGGCCAGACTCGGTGGCTCCCGCCTCTAATCCCCGCACTTTGGGAGGCTAAGGCAGGTGGATCACTTGAGGTCAGGAGTTCGAGACCAGCCTGGCAAACATGGTGAAACCCCGTGTCTACCAAAAATGCAAAAATTAGCTGGGCGTGGTGGCGCATGCCTGTAATTCCATCTACTCAAGAAGCTGAGGCAAGAAAATCGCTCCGGAGGCAAAAGTTGCAGTGAGCTGAGATTGCACCACTGCACTCCAGCCTGGGTGACAGAGTGAGACTCCATCACAAAACAAAGAAATGAAAACCCCCTAGACTAACAATGGAAGGGGAATCTAAAGAAGAAGGTGAAAGACTGTTGAGAATGACAAGGGCCCACGTGTTGTCATGGAACTGCAAACAGTCTGTTCCGATTTGTCTGGCTTTCCTTTGCTGTGGTGGCTTTGAGGTATATTTGTGTGGATACTCGGTTACAAATATTGCTTGGTTACACCCACAGGCCTGATTCTCAGAGGCGGCCTTTCTGGATTCACTGCCTCACCATGATTTTTTCCTTCTTTCCACTCCATCCCACGACCCATCACATGCAGGTACACCTTGTTTACTTCACTTTGCAGACACTGCGTGTTTTACACGGTGAAGGTGTTTGGTGCCGTTTATCCAACCGCATGCACTCACTTTGTGTCTCTGTGTTACAGGCGGTAATTCTCATGGTGTTTCAGGCTTTTTTGTAATTATCACGTCTGTGGTGGTGATCTGTGATCAGCGATCTTCAATGTTAACGATTGTTTTGAGGCACCATGAGCTCATGCATATACGAAGGCCAACTTCATAAATGTGTGTGTTCTGACTGCTCCGCCACTGATAATTCCCGGGCTCTCTCTCCCTCTCCTCTGGCCTCCCTACTACTTTCGATGCAGCAATATTGAAATTAAGCCAAATAATAACTGTACAATGGTCTTAAGTGAAAGGAAGAGTCACATGTCTCTCACTATTTATTTATTGATTGTGGCAGGGTATTACTCTGTCACCCAGGCTGGAGTGCACTGATGTGATCTCAGCTTACTGCAACTTCCCCCTCTAGGACTCAAGTGATTCTCTCAATCAGCCTCCTGAGTAGCTGGGTTTACAGGTGTGTGCCACCATGCCTGACTAATTTTTGTATTTTTAAGTAGAGACGAGGTTTTGCCACGTTGGCCAGGCTGGTCTTGAACTCCTGACCGCAAGTGATCTGCTGGCCTCGACTCCCAACAAACTGGGAATACCGACATGAGCCACCACGTCTGGCACATGTCTCTCACTTTGAATCGAAATCCAGAAATGATTAAGCTTGATGAAGAAGCCGTGTCAAAAGCCAAGATAGGCTAAAGGCTAGGTCTTTTGCACTAAACAGTTGGCCAAATTGTGAGGGCAAAGAAAAAGTTATTGAAGGAAATTAAGAGTGCTACTCCAGTGAACATATGAATAATAAGTGAAACAGCCTAATTGCTGTTATGAAGGCAGTTTGAGCGATCTGGATAGACCAAGGCAGCCATAACATTCCCGTCAGCCAAAGCCTAATCCAGAGCAAGGCCCGAACGGTCTTCAGTTCCACGAAGGCTGAGAGAGATGAGGAAGCTGCAGAAGCGAAATCTGAAGTCAGCAGAGGTGGGTTCACGAGGTTGAAGGAAAGAAGCCGTCTCCAAAACATAAAAGCACAAGGGGAAGCAGCAAGTGCTGATGGAGAAGCTGCAGCAAGTTCTCCAGAAAAATCTCTGATGAAGGTGGCTACACTCGGCAACAGGTTTTCAATATAGAAGAAACGGGCTTTGATGGAGGAAGATGCTGTCTAGGACTTTCATGGCAGAGAAGTCAATGCCTGGCTCAACGCGTCAAAGGACAGGCTGACTCTCTTGTTAGAGGCTAATGCAGCCGGTAGTACTTCAAGTTGTAGTCATTGCTCATTTACCATTCTGAAAATCCCAGGACCCTGAAGAATGATACTAAATCTACCCTTCCTGTGCTCTAGAAATGGAACAAAGCTGGAGTGACAGCATGTCTGTCTGCAGCATGGTCGACTGAGTGTTTTTAGCGCACCCTGGAGACCTGCTGCTCAGAAAAATAGATTTCTTTCCAAAGTTTGCTGCTCAGTGACAATGCACCTGGTCGCCCAAGAGCTCTGATGGAGAAGTTCAAGGAGATCCGTGTTGTTTTCATGCCTGCAAACACACGTCCATTCTGCAGTCCATGGACCAAGGAGTAAATTTGACTTCCAAGTCTTATTATTTCAGAAATACATTTCATAACGCTACAGCTGCCATAGGTAGCAATTCTTCTGATGGGTCTGGGCAAAGTCAATTGAAAACCTTCTGGAAAAAATTCATCATTTTAGATGCCATTAAGAACATTCACTATTCATGAGAGGGGGCCAAAATATCAACATTAACAAGAATTTGAGAGAAGCTGATTCCAGTTTTCATGGATGACTTTGAGTGGTTTAAGACTTCAGGGGGAGGAAGTGACTATGGATGTGGTGGAAATAGAAAGAGGACCAGAATTAGAAGTAGAGCCTGCATTGCTGCAATCTCATGATGAAACATGCACAGATACAAGAAGCAAGATAAGGACTTGCTTCTTATGGATGAGCAAAGAAAGTGTTTTTTTTTTTTTCAGAGAGAATTTATTCCTGGTGAAGATGCTATGAACATTACAGAAATGACAATACACAAGATTAAGAATATTACTTAAACAGGCTGGGCGCAGTGGCTTACGCCTGTAATCCCCACACTTTGGGAGGCTGAGGCAGGCGGATCACCTGAGGTCAAGAGATTGAGACCAGCCTGGCCAACATGGTGAAACCCTGTCTCTACTAATAATACAAAAATATTAGCTGGGCAGGATGGCACACACCTGTAATCACAGTTACTCAGGAAGCTGAATCAGGAGAATCGTTTGAACCCGGGAAGTGAAGGTTGCAGTGAGCCGAGATCGCACCTCTGCACTCCAGCCTGGGTGACAGAGTAAAACTGTGTCTCAAAAAAAAAAAAGGAATATTACATAAATATAGTTGATAAAGCAGCACAGAGTTTGAGAGGATTGACTCCAACTTTCAAAGGAACTCTATGGTGGACAAAAGTTATCAGTCAGCATCGCATGCTCCAGAGAAATTTCATGAAAGCAAGAGTCCATCCACACAGCAAACTTCCTCGCTGTCTGATTTTAGGAAATGGCCACAGCCATCTCAACCTCCAGCAGTTGCCACCATGATCGGTCAGCCATGTCACCATCAGGCAAGACTCTCGCACAGCAAAAAGATTTCACCTTGCTAAAGGCTCAAAGGACTGTTAGTGTTTTTAACCAAATTTTAAAATTTTTATTTTTGAACTTTTATTTTAGATTTAGAGGGGGTACACCGAGCTTTTCTGGTCTCCCTCAGTGATTGGTCGATTTGTTTTTGAATTTTATTATTATTATTTTTTCTTTTCTTTTTCTTTTTCTTTTTTAGAGACAGGGTGTTATTGTGTCTCTCAGGCAGGAGTGCAGTGGCATAATCATAGCTGACTGTAGCCCCAAACTCCTGGGCTCAAGAGATCCTCCTGCCAAAGCCTCCCGAGTAGCTGGGACCATAGGCACAAGCCAGTGTTCCTGGCCCTTATCATTACTTGCTTTTTAAGACAGAGTCTTGCTCTGTCGCCCAAGCTGGAGTGCAGTGGTGCAATCTTGGCTCACTGCAACCTCCACCTCCTGGGTTCAAGCGATTCTCCTGCCTCAGCCTCCTGAATAGCTTGGATTGCAGGTGTATGCCAACATGCCCAGCTAATTTTTATATTTTTAGTAGAGACGGGGTTCGACCATGTTGGCCAGTCTGGTCTGGAACTCCTGACCTCAGATGATCCACCCTCCTCGGCCTCCTAAAGTGCTGGGATTACAGGCGTGGCCACCACGCCTGGCCCATTATTATTGCTTTTAATGTCTGCTAGCTTCAGGGGTGCACAGAGATTTAAAGGGCACATTCTTTCAGGGACTGGGCATAACATGAGCACTGGGAATGAAGGGGATACATTCCACAGGTGAGGCAGTGCCCAGGAGGGTGGAATCTGGGTGTGGCTATGACCACTCCTCCACCCATCCTAGCTTTTTCTTGTCCTTTGAAGAGACAAAGTGACAGCAAGAAACAAAAAGGGGACTTGGGCTTGGGGTTGGAGGGTCTGATGTTAGGTCTGGAGTCAGCCTCTTAAAGGCTCTGTGGGTTGGCCCTGTCCCTACCTTTCTCCTGCATCTGTGCAATGAGGGTGATGAGGTTGGACCAGCGCCAAAGTCCCTTGCAGCCTTAGTACTCATTGTGATATGTTATGAACTGCTGGTCATATTCCGGGTGCTGTTCTAAGAACCATAGGAATTCCTCTCCTGTGCACAGCTAAACTCAGAGCTCATAGTATCTTTAGGTGAAAGATAAGGAAACCAAGACACAGAAAGATTGAGTCCTTGCCCCCCGCCTCATGGCTCAGAGGTGGAGGAGTCAGAATTGGAAGTAGAGACTGACTGAATGAATGACACTTGGGTCACCAGGACACCCTTCCAATCTCCACTCCTCCATCTCTTCCTTAGCAACCATCTCCCCACCCTACCTCCTCTTTTCAGGCTCTTCTTGGTGACTTCTGTTCACATCTCACCCCTTCTGTCCTTCCCCCACGGCCCTACCTCCATATTCCCCCTTGTTACTTATTTCCAAGTTCTTCCCCAGCCTTCCAGCCTGATTCACCATTTTCTCTTCTGGCCAGCGGATCACGGGCTCCCAGCTCTCCTCCAGGCTGCAGTATTTTGGGCAGGCGCTGAGCGGGGGTCAGGACCTCACCCAGGATGGGCTAGTGGACCTGGCGGTGGGGGCCCGGGGCCAGGTGCTCCTGCTCAGGTGAGAGCAGCCTTCCTTGGACGCTCACTGGGTGGTTCTAGGTCCAGACCGGGATGCCCACCCTTCCTTCCACCCCATGTTGTGCTCCCAGGAGCCAAGGGGCTGTCCTCAGGTTGGTGCTCTGTCCACAGGACCAGACCTGTGCTCTGGGTGAGGGCAAGCATGCAGTTCATACCTGCTGAGATCCCCCGGTCTGTGTTTGAGTGTCAGGAGCAGGAGGTCTCTGACCAGCCCCTGGGATATGCCAGCATCTGCCTTTACATTGACAACATTTCCAAGAACCTGCTCAGGAGCCGTGAGTTCTCTCCCTCCAACCCAGGACGCCCTGACCTCTGGAGTCCCCCAGCCCTGGACGCCTGTCTCCCATCCTGCACGTTATCCACCCCAGGGGTTTTTGTCTCTCTCAACGCCATCCCTGTGACCACCTACAGGTGACCTCCAAAGCTCTGTGACCTTGGACCTGGCCCTTGACCCTGGCCGCCTGAGTCCCCGTGCCACTTTCCAAGAAACAAAGAGCCGGAGTCTGAGCCGAGTCCAAGTCCTCGGGCTGCAGACACACTGTGAAAACTTCAATCTGCTGCTCCCGGTGCGACTGGGCACAGGCGTGGGTGGCGGCGGCGCTGGGGCTGGCAGAGGGCAGGGCAGGAGAGAACAGGCTGTGTTCCAGCCTCCCTGTGGCTCAGCCCAGCACGGGACCGGGACCAGCCACAGGAGGCGCTTACTGCATGTCAACCAGTGAGCAAGCCAACGAGTGATGAGATCGGCTGCAGCGGCCAGGGGCCACACGGCTGTATTTCAGGAAAGGGAATTGGGCAGCCTGAGAGTGAGGTCTGGGGCTTCTGGCTGGGTTTTTTTTTCAGGCATTCATTGGACATGCATTTATCAAGTTGCTCCTCAAAGACAGGCTGTGCCCTGAGGGTCAGGGGCAGAGCAGTAGCCAAAACAGTCATTTCTGATCGGGAGGTCTGTGGGGAGGAGAAAAAAAACAAAGACAAACCAGGGGAGAGAACTGAGAGGGCGTCAGGTAGGCCTCCTGGAGGTGGTGACGCTGGGCAGGCCCTGAAGGAAGGGAAAGCCAGGTGGGAGCTGGAAAAGAACTGCAGGTGGAGGGGGGGTGAGCCCAGCTCTGCAGTGTTCCCTCTACCCTCCTCCCTCCCCCATGCCCATCCCCCAGGCCTGCGTGGAGGACTCTGTGACTCCCATCACCTTGCGTCTGAACTTCACACTGGTGGGCGAGCCCCTCCCTTACTTCAGAAACCTGCAGCCTATGCTGGCCACTGATGCTCAGAGATACTTCACAGCCTCCGTGAGTCCTGGCACTGGGGTCTCCCAAAGAGGGTGCACAGTGTGGGGCTCGGGTCTCAGAGAAAACCCTCCATTGCCTTCCCACGAAGCTTCCCTTTGAGAAGAACTGTGGAGCCGACCATATCTGCCAGGATGATCTCGGCATCTCCTTCAGCTTCCCAGGGTGAGTGCCCCCGCCTCCCCCCGCCCTTAGACCTGCCCTGGCACCCCAGCCTCCTTCCTGGAACCTGGGACTCCTGTCCCTGGCTCTCCCTAACATTGTCTCATCCTATACTCAAAACCCAGGTGTCCTGGCTGGGCCTGGTGGCTTTGGTAATCCCAGCACTTTGGGAGGCTGAGGCAGGAGGATCTTTTGAGGCCAGGAGTTAGGGATCAGCCTGGGCAACAAAGTGAGATCCCATTTCTACAAAAACAAAACAACAGCAGAAAAGCCAGCTGAGTGGTGGAGCATGCCTATAGTCCCAGCTACTTGGGAGGCTGAAGCTTGAGGATTGCTTGAGCTCTGGAGTTGGAGGCTGCAGTGAGCCATGATCTCACCACTGCACTCCAGCCTGGGTGACAGAGCAAGACTCTGTCTCTTAAAAAAAAAAAGAACCCAGGTGTCCTGTTCCCTGTCTATCTCCCACGTCCCCACCCACCCCATTTTATTCCCAGATTATTTCTAGCCTCAGTCACAATCATCTCCTTTCCCTCTCCTGATGCCCAGCTTGAAGACCTTGCTGGTGGGGAGTAACCTGGAGCTAAATGCAGAAGTGATGGTGTGGAACGACGGGGAAGACTCCTACGGAACCACCATCACCTTCTCCCACCCGGGGGGACTGTCCTTCCGCCACGTGGCAGAGGGCCAGGTGCTCCCTCTGGGAAAGGAGGAGGCGGCTGGGCTGGGTGTGAGCATAGATTCCTGTGCGGTTCAGGACGGGGCCTGGAGGTAGTTGTGCCATCTAGGGCTTGCCTCCACTCTTGTGGTGTTCAACTTCAGGCATGGCAGTTTGAGGACACTAACTAAGGCGGAGACAGAGGGAATCCTGCCCAAATTTCTTTCTACTCCCTATCATGTCAATATTCCTTTTTTAAAGGAAAACATATCTCATCCTTCAACTACTTAAAAATGCTGTTCTGTAGAAGCAAAGGGTTGAATTTATTGGTCATTCTGCATTAAGGTGTGGCAACCTTTTTCTACAAAGGGCTAGATAGTATATATTTTGTCTTTGTGGGCCACGTGGTCTGTGTCGCAGCTGTTGTGGAGTGAAAGCCGCCGCGGTTGACATGAATGAGATTATGAATGAATATACCTGAGATGCAGTAAAACTTTATGTGTAAATATAGGTAGTGGCTGTTGTTTGCCAATCCCTGCACTAGAATATAGAACCAGGACCATAAGGAGTCAAAGAGAACCAGACTTTTTAAACAAAAATGTTATTATGGCCGGGTGCAGTGGCTCACGTCTGTAATCCCAGGACTTTGGGAGGCCAAGGCAGGTGGATCACCTGAGATCAGGAGTTTGAGACCAGCCTGGCCAACATGGTGAAACCCCATTTCTACTAAAAATACAAGAATTAGCTGGTGTGGTGGTCCATGCCTGTCATCCCAGCTACTCGGGAAGCTGAGGTGGGACAATCTCTTGAACCCAGGAGGCAGAGGTTGCAGTAAGCCAAGACTGTGCCACTGCACTCTAGCCTGGTGACAGAGCAAGACTCTGTCTCAAAAATTTATTATGAAAAATTTAAAACATTTACAACAAACCTCCCCAAAACTTACCACCCAGATTCAACACTTAGCAACATTTTGCTACATTTGTTTCAGTTCTTACCCTTTGCTAACATTTTATTTATTTATTTATTTATTTGTTTATTTTTGAGACAGGGTCTTGCTCTGTCACATAGGCTGGAGTACAGTGGCACAATCATGGCTCACTGCAGCCTCGACCTCCTGGGCTCAAACAATCCTCCCATCTCAGCCTCCTGAGTAGCTAGAACTATAGGCACAAACTACCACATCTGGCTATTTTTTTTTTGAGACAGAGTTTCCCTCTAGTTGCCCAGGCTGGAGTGCAATGGCACAATCTCGGCTTACTACAACCTCCGCCTCCTGGGTTCAAGCGATTCTCCTGCCTCAGACTCCTGAGTAGCTGGGATTACAGGCACGCACCACCATGCCTGGCTAATTTTTGTATTGAGCAGAGACAGGGTTTCTTCATGTTGGTCAGGGTGGTCTCGAACTCCTGACCTCAGATGATCCACCTGCCTCAGCCTCCCAAAGTGCTGGGATTACAGGCATGAGCCACCATGCCCAGCTGGCTAATCTTTTTGTAGAGTGGGGTCTTACTGTGCTACCCAAGTTGGTCTCTAATTCCTGGGTTCAAGCAATCCTCCCATCTCAGCCTCCCAAAGTGTTGGAGTTACAGACATGAACCACTGTGCCAGACCTGCTGAATTATTTTAAAACTAATCTCAGACATGGGGGACATTGTACTCCTCCTTATTCACTCTGCTGTGACTTGAATGCATCAGCAAAAGTTCACGTGTTGAACACTTAATTCCAATGCAACAGTGTTGAAAGATGGGCCTTTAAGGGGTGATTAAGTTATGAGGGCAAAGCCCTCATGAATGGATAAATACTATTATTTTGAGAGTAGATTAGTTATTTCAGGAGTGGGGTGGTTTTTTTGTTTCGTTTTGTTTTTTTGGTTTTGTTTTTTGAGACAAGGTCTTGCTCTGTTACCCAGGCTGGAGTGCAGTGATATGATCTTGGCTCACGGCAGTCTCTGCCTCCCAGGTTCAAGTAATTCTTGTGTCTCAGCCTCCCGAGTAGTTGGGATTACAGGCACCCACCACCACATCAAGCTAAGTTTTGTATTTTTAGTAGAGACAGGGTTTTAGCATGTTGGTCAGGTGGGTCTTGAACTCCTGACCTCAAGTGATCCACTCACCTCAACCTCCCAAAGTGCTGAGATTACAGGTGTGAGCCACCGTGCCTGGCCCAGGAGTGGGTTTCTAATTAAAGGATGAGTTTGGTCCCTTTTCCCTCTCACTCTCACATGTGCTCTCTTGCCCTTCTGCCTTCTGCTGTTAGATGATGAAGCACAAAGGCCCTCACCAGATACTGGTGCCATGCTCTTGGACTTCCTGGTTCCCAGAAACATGAAGCTTCTATTGATGAATTACCTGGTTTGTGGTAATCTATTAATAGCAGCAGGGAATAGACAAAGACACACTCTATAGTTCTAAACAATGAGGACACCTTATATGACCTCAACACCATTATCACACCCAATGAAATAAGTGATTCCTTGGTATTAAGATAATAGTCAAAATTCTGTAATTGTCTCAAAAATATCTTTTTACCTCTGGTCTATTTGAACCAAAATTCAAGCTAAGTCCACACATAATGTTTGGTTGTTAATCTGTTTATCTGTTTCTCTTAGTCTCGTATTCCCAACAGAAGCACATTTTGATTGATGTATCAAAGAACAGACCAGGAAAGGCCATCTCTGCACATGAGGGGTGATCACTGTCATTGAAAGTGATCCTAGACCTATCAGCCAAATGTAATATGTTCAATATTGATTTTAATACATGAGCTGTAAATGACACTTTTGGAGACAATCTAAGAAAATAGAACATATTGATACATTGGTATATTAAGGAGTAATTGTTAATTTTGTTGGCTGTGATTTGTTGGGTCTTGTGGTTACATTTAAAATACCCTTATCTGCTGGTGGTATACACTGAAGTATTTCTAGATGGAACAATATTGTTGGAAACAGATACTCAGTGCCACAAAGAAAAATCAGCACTGAGACAGAGGATCTTTCAGCAACTCAATTTTTACTTCCTGGACTGCAGGAAGGGTACTCTCGCTAGCCATCTTGCCGCCAGAGTACAATGAATGAAGGAAAAGCAGATATATTTATTCCTTATGCATTTGGGGTCGTCCTTACTGCTGTGTCTGATCTCCGTTGGCTGGAGGCAGACCTTACAATTTAAACAAAAACCCAATTGGCTAACAACTTAAAACTTTTCTAAACAGGTAATGGGCTTAGGCTGCCAGCTGGGACATGCCTGTGAGCACGTCCAGCACAGATATCTTGTTAAAGTACAAGGACATAGAATGTATTACATGCCTGTCAGCATGACATCTCTTAACGCTACATAGGATAAGGGCTTAACAAAGTGTTATTAGCAAATTTATTCTTTAACAAGAAAGAAAACTTTAAAGAGGAACTTTCCTACTTCCCACAAATATGATGTTTGGGACATGCTTTAAAGTATTCAGAAAGAGAACAGAGTAGAAACAAAAGTAGAAAAATGTTCTTTACTTAAAATGAGTGATGTATATATGGGGGTTGATTTTCTAGTCTCTACTTTTGGCTGTGTTTCAAAATTTCCGTAATAAGAGGCCTTTAAAATAACAATGAAAAGGTGAACATTTTAATAAATTTGACATTTCTACTTTGGAAGAAGGTTTGACCAGATAGCTATGGGGGAGCTTTTAAAAACATAACCTTGGCTGGGGTGTGATGGCTTATACCTGTTAGCCTAGTGTTTGGGGGGCCCAAGATGGGAGGATGCTTGAGGCCAGGAGTTCAAGACCAGGCTGGGCAACATAGTGAGATCCCATCTCAAAAAAAAAATTTTTTTTTTAAATTAGCCAGGCATAGTGGTGTGTGCCTATAGTCCCAGCTACTCAGGAGGCTGAGGTGAGGGGGTGGCTTGAGCCCAGGAGTTTGAGGCTGCAGTGAGCTGCGACTACATCACTACTCTTTAGCCTGGGTGACAGAGTGAGACCTGGTCTCAAAAAACAAACAAAAATATAACTTTAAGGTGGGCTCCGGGAAGCTTCATCACTACTTTACGGATGCCTGTGAGCACATCCAGCACAGATATCTTGTTAATCTTGTCTTTGGAATACTGTTATAATAGGTTGATGCAAAAGTCATTGTGGTTTTCACCATTGCTTTCAATTTCAACGAATACTCCTCTACTTTTTCTTGTGCCTAGAAACAGGGACAGCTGCGCTCCCTGCGCCTGACATGTGACAGCGCCCCAGCTGGGAGCCAGGGCATCTGGAGCACCAGCTGCAGAATCAACCACGTCATCTTCCGTGGGGGCGCCCAGGTCAGCCTGGCTTCTGTTCCCTCGCTGCTGCCCTCCCCACCCTGTCTTTACTGCTCTGTGACCTCCTCAGTGCCTTTCCTCAGATCACCTTCTTGGCTACCTTTGACATCTCCCCCAAGGCTGTCCTGGGAGACCAGCTGCTTCTGGTAGCCAATGTGAGCAGGTGAGCCGGGCCAGGCCAGGGGCAGTGCCCCTCATCTCCAGCCCCACTCCACATCCTCCTCCTCTGGGGCCTTTGGCAACCAGGTCTCTCCTCTTTCTCCAGTGAGAACAACACCCCCAGGACCAGCAAGACCACCTTCCAGCTGGAGCTCCCAGTGAAGTATGCTGTCTACACTGTGGCCAGCAGGTCAGCAGGTGCCACAGGCAAAGGGGTTCTTCTCTCTCACCCTGATGGGGGTAGACCTTGTCCCCTGCAGCAGCCAAACACCTGAGATGTGTCAGGTTTTGGGTGTTAGATAATATTGCCAGCAGCACTTACCAGTCAACACGTTTGTTTTGTTTTTTTTTGTTTGTTTCCTTTTATCCTTGATAAAAACTACCCAGGCATGGTGGCATGTGCCTGTAGTTCCAGCTATTTGGGAGGCTGAGGCGGGAGGATCACTTGAGCCTGGGAAGTTGAGGATATGGTGAGCTGTGATTGGACCACCGCATTCCAGCCTGGGCAACAGAGCAAGATCTTATCACAAAAAAAAAAAAAAATTGACCCTAGAGTGATGTTTCTTAAAATGTGTTCTACGAACCCCTGGTGGTCAAATGCTCTTCTAAGTGGTAGGTTTTAGAGAAAAAGAGCAAGAAACCCACACGTCTCAAACATTTGAAACTGGTGATTTGCACAGAAATAGTGTTGCATCCTTAATAATTGTGTGGCACATGGACTCCAGGGATGACAATGGGCTCTTGTCTAAATTGGGGCAACAAGTTGTTGTTTTCTATTTTATTCTATTATTATTATTTTTTGAGGCAAGTCTCACTCTGCTGCCCAGGCTGGAGTGCAGTGGCGTGATCTTGGCTCACTGCAACTTCCTCCTCCCTGGTTCAAGTACAAGTGATTCTCCTACCTCAGCCTCTGGAGTAGCTGGGATTACAGGCACGCACCACCACACCCAGCTAATTTTTGTATTTTTAGTGGAAATGGGGTTTCACCATGTTGGCAGGCTGGTTTTGAACTCCTGACCTCAAGTGGTCCATCTGCCTCGGCCTCCCAAAGTGCTGGGATTATGAGCGTGAGCTACCATGCCCAGCCGTCAATAAATATTTATTGTGGGCTAGTTATTATCCTAATAATTGTGATGTTATTATCGTTATATCCCAGTTTTAATAGAAGTTAAAAGTGTTTCTCAAATGCATCAACATTCTCTTGTCTTCCCCAGGAGATATGAGACGTGTCCCTACCTTTGATATTCTTCTAAGCCTCACTGGGGAGCAAAGTTATCCTGGTCCAAGCCCGAATCCCATCTAGGGCCATGTGGTTCTGTACTGCAGGGTGCAGGGGATGTGGGTTTCTGAGATGGGGCTAGGGCCCCTTGGAAAGAGAGGCATCAGTTAGACACAGAAGGGTCCACAGCATTGAGGGGCTGTTGGTATCTGGACAGGACATTTCTTCTTGTCCTGGGAATACACTTGTACCCTGCAGGGCTTTTAGACGCCCCTCCTCCTCTTCCCAGTGCCCTTGGGGAAGGATAGGGATGGATGACCTGCCTGCCACAGGGAGAAGCTGGGTAAAAAGACAGGGCCAGCCGGGCACAGTGGCTCATGCCTGTAATCCCACCACTTTGGGAGGCTAAGGTGGGCAGATCACCTGAGGTCAGGAGTTCAAGACCAGCCTGGCCAACATGGCGAAACCCCATCTCTACTAAAAATACAAAAATTAGCTGGGTGTAGTGGCGGGCGCTTGTAATCCCAGCTTCTTGGTTGGCTGAGGCAGGAGAATCACTTGAACTCGGGAGGCAGAGGTTGCAGTGAGCTGAGATTGCGCCATTGCACTCCAGCCTGGGGGACAAGAGCAAAACTCTGTCTCAAAAAACAAAACAAAACAACATCAACAAAACACAGGGTCTTGAAATGCTACCAGGGAGGGTGAGATAAGGTGCTTGAAACTAAAAGGTCAAGTTTCAGCAGACACCTCCCTTCAGTCAATGCCTTCCTCAAAGTTGCTGTGTGGCAGGCACGGCATTGTGGTTATTTCCCATATGTTCATTAGACATTCAGCGAAGATTTACTGAGCCCCAATTATGTGTGATCAAAATCAGACATGAATCCCCATCCTTGTGGGGTGTGCCTTGCTGGATGTTCTCCCCTGCCTGGTGTTTTCCACCCTCACCTGCACCTGCAAGTGTGGGGGCTCCCAGCCAGGTGCACACTCTAAGCTTGTGTGCTGGGCTGTGCCCAGGCTCTCACACCAGCTGGCAGGGGCCCCAATGGCAGAGCTCACCTTCTCTAGGCATGTGTGGTCCACAGCTCAGTCACACACGGCAGATGTGACCCTGTGGGTTGGGGCACAGGGAGTGCCAGGTTGGGGCATTTTGCGGGGAGGCCAAGGTGAGAGGATCGCTTGAGGCCAGGAGTTTGAGATCAGCCTGGGCAACAGAGTGAGACCCCATCTCTATGAAAAATTGGCAGAGAAGGAATGAGGCTCCAGACTAGGTGTGGTGGGCTGGCATTTGGACTATGCCAGCTAGAGGACAGGTGCCAGAAGAGTGAAGCAGTGAGGCAGAAGTGAGACCAGCCACCAGTGTGACAGTCACAGCTGGCCAGTGGGTCTCCAGTTGTGTCCAAGAAGGGCTTGGGACCTTAAACTGAGACCCTGTGAAGAGTCTGCTGTGGGCTCTCCCTCACCTCCAAACACCAGGCCTGGAAAAGCCGAGGAAATGGGAGAAAAGGGCCCCGGGGGAGGCCTGTGGGGGACTGAGAAGGGGCAATGCTCAGTAGCATTTGGTCAACAGCCCTGTGCCGTGTCCCACTGGCTCCTGGCATCCTGTATCTCCACGAAGGGCTGGAAGGAAAGCGGAAGGGCAGGCCCTAGCCCCTGCTCTCCTGCAGGTCCGACAGAGCTCTCTTCTCTTTACTGCACCTACTGCTCAGCCCCACTGCAGGCAGCTATGAGCTCTTTGCACCCATTTTTAAAATGTATTTATTTATTTTTTGAGACGGAGTTTTGCTCTTGTTACCCAGGCTGGAGTGCACTGGCGCGATCTCGGCTCACCGCAACCTCCGCCTCCTGGGTTCAGGCAATTCTCCTGCCTCAGCCTCCTGAGTAGCTGGGATTACAGGCACGAGCCACCGTGCCCAGCTAATTTTTTGTATTTTTAGTAGAGACGGGGTTTCACCATGTTGACCAGGATGGCCTCGATATCTTGACCTCGTGATCCACCCGCCTCGGCCTCCCAAAGTCCTGGGATTACAGGCGTGAGCCATAGCGCCAGGCCTCCATTTTTTTTTAAAGAGCTCACCTCTTGCTCTGTTGTCCATGTTGGAGTGCAGTGGCATGATCACAGCTCATAGCAGCCTTGGACTCCTCTTGGAATCAAGTGGTCCTCCCACCTCAGCCTCCCAAGGAGTTGAGACTACAGACATGTGCCACCATGCCTGGCTAATTAACAAATTTTTTTTTGTAGAGATGGGGTCTCACTATGTTGCCCAGGCTGATCTTGAATCCTGGCCTCAAGTGATCCTCCTACCTCGACCTCCCAAAGTGCTGGGATTATAGGTGTGAGCCACTGCACTCAGCCACTTAGCCCTTGTTTAGAAGCCCAGCCCTGCTTTTCTAAACTCTCTCTCTTTTTTTTGAGACCAAGTCTCACTGTGTTGCCCAGGCTGGAGTGCAGTGGGGCAATCTTGGCTCACTGCAATCTCTGCCTCCTGGCTCCAAACAATTCTCGTGCCTCAGCCTCCTGAGTAGCTGGGATTACAGGTGCCCACACCTGGCTAATTTTTGTATTTTTACCAGGCTGGTCTTGAACTCCTGACCTGAGGTGATCTGCCCATCTCGGCCTCCAAAGTGTGTGGATTACAGGCGTGAGCCACCGTGCCTGGCCTCTAAACTCTCTTTTAACCTAACTCAGCCACAGCTCCCATTCTAGGACATACCAAGGCCCCCCCTGTCCCTCATGCCACAGCCAATGCCTGAGGCCCTGTGGTAGTTCACATCCACCAATGCCTCTCCTCTCTCCAGCCATGAACAATCCACCAAGTACTTCAACTTCTCAGCCGCCGAGGAGAAGGAAAGCCGTGTGGCCACACACAGATACCAGGCAGGTGGTGGAGACACTGGAGCCTGGGCTGGGGCGGGAGGCTGGGGAGGGCTGTGGGCTTTGGTGTGGGCTCTGCCCTCACCGCCCTCTGTGCAGGTCAACAACCTTGGACAGAGGGACTTGCCTGTCAGCATCAACCTCTGGGTGCCTGTGGAGCTGAACCAGGAGGCTGTGTGGACGGAGGTGGAGATCTCCCATCCCCAGGTACCCGAGGACTGTGTATGGCTCTGTGAATGCACTTTTTACCTGGATTCGCTGTGCCCCTCATGAGTCCCTGAGGTCCCAGCTGAGACACCTGTTCTCTGCGTTTCCTCCCAGGACCCATCCCTTCAGTGCTCCTCCGAGAAAATCGCACCCCCAGTGTCTGACTTCCTGGTGCACATTCAGAAGAATCCTGTGCTGGTGAGGAGGGCTCTGGGCCAGCCCTCGCTGCAGGCGGCAAATCAGAGAAATTTCACCCAGGAGTTCATGTTCCACGTCCATCCTGCTAAGCTAGCCTTTTGCATTCAGATTCGGCCGCTGCCCTCAAATCACACCAAGTAATGCTGCCTCCGACCTTCCTACTCATCTTTCTCAGCCTGATGCGATTTCTCTGCCTCCAGGACTGCACCATTGCCGGCTGCCTGCGGTTCCGCTGTGACGTCCCCTCCTTCAGCGTCCAGGAGGAGCTGGACTTCACCCTGAAGGGCAACCTCAGCTTTGGCTGGGTCCGCCAGGTATGTGGGTGCAATGGCAGAGCCCCTGCCCCGGACTCAGGGGGGACCTGGCGTGTCTGTGCCCATCTGCAAGCCAGGCTGTCCCCGGAGCTCTGAGCCTCCCCAGAGCCAGTTCCACAGGTTTCCCCAACCCTTTTGCAGACGTCGCAGAAGAAGGTATCGGTAGTGAGTGTGGCTGAAATTACATTCGACACATCCGTGTACTCCCAGCTTCCGGGACAGGAGGCATTTATGAGCGCTCAGGTAGAGACTGTGTGGGGGCAGTGGCCAGGCTGGAAAGAGGGCCCCTGGGGCTCCATCTGCTGTGCTGGGGGGTGTTTTTGCAAATGGGGAGAGGGAAGAGGGTGAAGGTCTCTGGGCAGGACAGCTGTCCCTAAGGGCATGGATGCTGGTGCATCTCACCCTTTGGAGCAGGGCCAAGGAGCAGGGGAGGAAGTTAAAGGTTGGGGAACCTGTGGGGAGTCTGGGATGGCAGGAGGACAAGCGCTTTCTGACGGGGTCACCTCCACTTCAGACGATGACGGTGCTGGAGAAGTACAAGATCCACAACCCCACTCCCCTCATCGTGGGCAGCTCCGTGGGGGGTCTGCTGCTGCTGGCGCTCATAACAGCTGCACTGTACAAAGTGAGTGTTTTATGCTATGCTGGACCCCACAGCATCAGGTCCCAATCTTTTTGCAGAGCGAGAAGGAGCTCACTTTGAAGCAGAGGCACATTCTTGCAGGGTCGCTTCATATGAGAAATTGCCTCCCACCTGCAAAATCGCCTACCTCCAGCGGCCCCTACTCTGTGATTCTCAGTCCTCCTCTAAACATTCTGCCTTACTTTCCCGCTCTTCTCCAGTTTCTCTCGACAGCAGATTATCATATAAAAGCACAGACCCAGTTTGAATGCTGACATCACCGCAGATTCTTTTTGTTTTTGACTATAGGCCAGTGTCTGCTCCATTCTGGGCCTTGATTTCTCAAAGTGGAGGTGACTCTACCCAGCTCACAGGATTTTGGCTAAAACTAGGCCAGGCACGGTGGCTCACGCCTGTAATCCCGGCACTTTGGCTGAGGCAGGTGGATCACTTGAAGTCAGGAGTTCAAGACTAGCCTGGCCAATGTGGTGAAACCCCATCTCTACTAAAAATACAAAAATTAGCTGGGTGTGGTGGCACGTGCCTGTAATCCCAGCTACTCGGGAGGCTGAGGCAGGAGAATTGCTTGAACCTGGGAGGTGGAGGTTGCAGTGAGCTGAGATCATGCCACTGCACTCCAGCCTGGGTGACAAGAGTGAGACTCTGTCTCAAAAAAAAAATTTTTTTTTTGGCTAAATCTAGTTGACACAATGCATGTAAAGTTCCTAGTGCAGTGCTTCAAACCTAGCAGGGATTCCAGAATAGTGATCCCTCAGTCTCCCTCAGTCCTGTATTTTCTTCTCTTCCACTGAATGGACTTCCTGTGTTTCTTCTCCGTCCTCCCCCACAGGTTGGCTTTTTCAAGCGTCAGTACAAGGAAATGATGGAGGAGGCAAATGGACAAATTGCCCCAGAAAACAGGACATCAGACCCCCAGCCTGCCCAGTGAGAGATGATCCCTTCTTGGCCTTGGACTTCCTCTCCCTCTCAATGGTTCTACATTTACTTACCCTTACCTGTCAGGCCCGAGGGGGAGGAACCATTGCACCAAGAGAGGCTGGGATCAGCCTGCTTCCTGTCTTTGGGAGGAGCATCTTGCTTGGGAAGGGGCCTGTGTCTTGTCAAGGTTCCAATTGAAAACCCTTAGGACAGGGTCCCTGCTATGTTCCCCAAAGAGTTTGACTTGCAATTTCTACCTAGAAATACATGGACAATACCCTCAGGCTTCCGTCTCCCTTCCCCCATGAGGCATGGCATCTTTTTTTCTTTTTTGGAGATGGATTCTTGCTCTGTCACCCAGGCTGGAGTGTGATCTTGGCTCCTGCAACCTCCGCCTCCTGGGTTCAAGTGATTCTCCTGCCTCAGTCTCCTGAGTAGCTGGGATTACAGGCACGCACCACCATGCCGGGCTAACTTTTGTATTTTTAGTAGAGATGGGGTTTCACCATATTGGTCAGGCTGGTCTTGAACTCCTGATCTCAGGTGATCCACCTGCCTTGGTATCCCAAAGTGCTGGGATTACAGGCTTGAGCTACCTCGCCCAGCCGGATCTTTCTAAAATACAGTTCTGAACACGCTGCTCATCCCCACCCATCTTCAGTGGCTCCCCATTACCCTCAGGACAATGTCTGAACTCTCCAGCATCATGTGAGAAGTCCCCTTCCATCCCAGAGTGGGGGCTTCAGGGCACATGGTGTGAGAAGCCCTGTGGCCCCTATCACCATCATCACCATTGTTTCCAGTGAATTAGTGTCATGTCAGCATCAGCTCATGGCTTCATCGCAGGGCTCTCCCTCACGACTTCCCAGGCTGAATTGGGAGTGAGATGCCTGGGTGCTGGGTTCTGCAGAGATGGCCTCCAGCGTTGGGCAGCCTCGCTGGCTGGAAGGGAGGAGTGCCCCCTAGGGAGGGACATGGCCGGGGTGTGGATGCAGCTCACCCAGCCCAGGGGCAGAAGAGACCCAATCACTTCTATTTTTTGAGGCTACAAATATAGTAAATGAAGAAATGCCAGGATACAATCATTTTTAAAGAGTGCACTTTAAATGTTAGTGTCAATAAATTAAAACATGCCCACAAAGATGCATCTACTGCTCTTGGGAAATATGTCAGAGGTCTAAAAAAAAGGCCTTTTGTGGTTGTGGGTCCTCAAGGATGACGGCCATGCGGTCCCTTTACCACAGTGGGCCCTGGTTAGCCCTGAGGCCTGGGGCCAGGACAGTAAATTAACCAGAGTAGGGTTGTGAATATCCCTTTCTTAGGAGTAACCTGACCCCTTAATGGGCTCACTCCATTCTCTGGGCTGGTGCCTATGGGAAGCTGGTGGAGCTGTCAGGTGGAGGGAGGGGGCAAAGGACAGAGAAGGGACAACCTCCGTGGTTACTCCTCCCCCTGGAAAGGTTGCTGGAGCGACCAGTACTCACAAGTGTTTCCTACAAGTCTTAGGATGTGTTGAAGGGCACTCTGTCGCATGTAGTGAGTGACTGAAAGGGGGCTTTGGGGTGCCACATTGAGAGCTGCTGTCCGCAATAAGGTCATTCTTATTATGCCACCATCCTGGCATCAAGTTCATCATGGTGTCTGGCACTGAGCTGGGGCCACACAGGGAAAGCCATTCTCGACCTTGAATGATGCCACTGCAACTGTCATCAGCAAGGGACTCACACCATGTGGATGTTTCAATTGGGAAAGCAGAAGGGAGGCAGTTGAATGATTTGAAGGGAAGATGGAAAGGGGCCCTTACCTCCAGCCAAAAATACCTCTCCCATGTGTCAGCAGAGGGTCCCAAATCCCTGTGGATCTCGAAGCTTTTGAGTCCCCAGGATGACTACTTATTATGCAGTTTCCCCAGGTAGGGAGGCAGATGATGAGACTTTGTAAGAATTCAGCCTTTGTGGCTGGGCACAGTGGCTCATGCCTGTAATCCCAGCACTTTGGGAGGCCGAGGCAGGAGGATTGCTTGTGCTCAGGAATTTGAGACTAGCCTGGGCAGCATACTGAAACCTTGCCTCTACAAAAAATTTAAAAATTACCCAGGCATGGTGGCATATGCCTGTAGTCCCAGCTACTTGGGAGGCTGAGGTGGGAGGATCACTTGAGCCTGGGAGGTTAAGGATATGGTGAGCTGTGATTGGACCACTGCATTCCAGCCTGGGCAACAGACCAAGATCTTATCTCCAAAGAAAAAAAAAATTGACCCTAGAGTGATGTTTCTTGAAATATGTTCTATGAACTGCTGGTGGTCGATGGTTTTCTAAGTGGTAGGCTTTAGAGAAAAAGAGCAAGAAACCCGTATATCTCAAACATTTGAAACTGATTTGCACAGAAACAGTGTTGCATCCTTAATAATTGTGTGGCACGTGGACTCTAGGGATGGCAATATGACCTCTTGTCTAAATTCAGGCAACAAGTTTTTTTTTTTTTTTTTTGAGACGGAGTTTCACTCTTTACCCAGGCTGGAGTACAATGGCGCAATCTCGGCTCATCGCAATCTCCGCCTCCTGGGTTCAGGCAATTCTCCTGCCTCAGCCTCCTGAGTAGCTGGGACTACAGGCACGCACCACCATGCCCAGCTAATTTTTTGTATTTTTAGTAGAGATGGGGTTTCACCATGTTGACCAGGATGGGCTTGATCTCTTGACCTCGTGATCCACCCGCCTCGGCCTCCCAAAGTGCTGGGATTATAGGCGTGAGCCACCGAGCCCGGCCCACAAGTTGTTATTTTCTATTTTATTTCATTATAATTTTTTGAGGCAGAGTCTCATTCTGTCGCCCAGGCTGGAGTGCAGTGGCATGATCTTGGCTCACTGCAATCTCCATCTCCTGGGTTCAAGTGATTCTGCTGCTTCATCCTCCTAAGTAGCTGGGACTACAGGCGTGTGCCACCATGCCGATTTTCATTATTATTATTTTTGAGATGGAATCTCAGTCTGTCACCCAGGCCGGAGTGCAGTGGCGTGATCTTGGCTCACTGCAACCTCCGCCTCCTAGGTTCAAGTTCAAGCGATTCTCTTGCCTCTGCCTCTGGAGTAGCTGGGATTATAGGCACCACCAACATGGCCAGCTAACCTTTGTATTTTTAGTACAGACATGGTTTCACCATGTTGGCCAGGCTGGTCTCGAATTCCTGACCTCGTGATCCACCCTCCTTGGACTCCCAAAGTGCTAGGATTACAGGTGTGAGCCACCGTGCCTGGCTGATAAGGTGTTATTTTTCTGATATTCTTCCTTTGTATGTTACTGTGTATGTTCATTGCATTTGCAGTTTCAGGGTTGGCTACTGTGTTGTGTTAGATCCCTGAATCACAAAATGGATCAATGGCTCACACACATGGAAGCTGTGATTAAAAAATAATATCATTGTTACAATTTAGAATAATGTCATCGAAGTCAATACTGACTTTTAAGCATTGAGCCCAGTGCCCATATAGTATAGACATGCATGCTGGGATAAATGATTGTGAGTCAAAACCCGAAAATATCCAGAAGGTATTATACTCCCTGTCAGGTGGATTGTATTGGTTCTGACATGCATTTGTTCCTAGTGTGCTTTGGCAGGCCCCTTCTGAAACTTGATGAAACAGTCACATGAACATTTCAGAGCTTTTGTGTCATTTTCAAAGCACAATGACTTCTTGGGTAAAGCAATAGGGATTTCTCAGAACAACTGCCACATGTAGCTTTCCTATTCAAAATTGATTAACATTATCACCGAATACAGAGGAGACAGCAAAACTACAGTGCCATAAATCAAGGTGCTTTTTATAGCAAAAGTAGATACAAGTCACATAATTTCCAAGAAGCTTGTAAAAACAGCAGTAGAGTTCGTACCTGTATTGAAAAGTTGCTTTTGGCTGCAAATAATAGAAAAAAACAAAAGCATGTAAGAGCAGATAGAAGGTCTTTCCATTACAAGAGGTTCAGGTGCAGCTTAGTGTTTAATTCAGAGTCTCAGCACTGACTGATTCTTTCTGACCTTCCAATCAGACATAAATCAGTTCTTGGTGGGTTTAGTTCTTACCCATTGACCAGGATTGAGTCAAATTCTATCCCCTTGGTTGCGTGCAGTGCTGAGAAGGTGAGCTTTTCACAAGCTTAATAAAAAGAGGTAGCTCCAGGCAGGCACAGTGACTCACATCTGTAATCTCAGCACTTTGGGAGGCTGAGGTGGGCAGATCACTTGAGATCAAGAGTTTGAGACCAGCCTGGCCAACACGACAAAACCCCGTCTCTACTAAAAATACAAAAATTAGCCGGGCATGGTGGCACATGCCTGTCATCCCAGCTACTGGGGAGACTGAGGCAGGAAAATCGCTTGAACCCAGGAGGCGGAGTGCAGTGAACTGAGGTCATGCCATTGTACTCCAGCCTGGGTGACAGAGTGAAACTCTGTATCAAAAAAAAAAAAAAAAAAAAGCAGGTGTGGGGGGTAGCTCCACCAGCCAGGAAGGTGGCAGCCTGGTGGCTGTTGAATAGGCTACCTACAGTGTCTGGCAAATATTATGCTTGAAGACTATGCTGAGAGAAAGATTCTTTTGTGAAGGAAGAGCTTGGACATTGTGTAATGTCAGAGGTAAACAGCGGAATAGCAGTGACTAACGCTTGCGTGGGAGAGTAAGCATGTCACCTCACACTTGGAATAAGTCACTGCCTTGCGAAGTCTGAACCAGCTTTAGTCTTTGCGCAATGCAGGTATGTGGGAGCTTTTCAGCTGCTGAAACCTCTAGCAACAGAAAGGGAGTTTTTGTTATTCATTTGTAATCAATGTTCATCCTGTGAGTGGTGGGAGAGAGAGTGAGGTTGGAGATTAGGAGGACTTGCTTTCTAGCCACAACCTAGCTAATCAGAAGAGGATCTGGTCAAGACGGGACTGCACTGAAAAAACAGCTGGAATCAGCAGATGGCCAGGAGAGCAAACTCTATTACCCTCACTGCTTATTAGCATAAAGACCTCCCCACTGGTGCCATGACAGTTTACAAATGCCATGGCAACATGCCATAGCAATGGTCAGCAAGTTACCTCCTATGGTTCCGGAAACTCCCCACTCCTTCTTCAGAAAGTTCTGAATAATCTGCCCTTAATTTGCATGTAATTAAAAGTCAGTAGAAGTACAGTTAGTCAGTGGCCTGCTGGCTGCTACTCTGGGCTCACTGCCTATGGGTCACTCTGCTCTGCAGGAAACAGCCACTCTGCTACTGCGGCCACTGCAATAAACCTGCTTTTTTCCACACAGGCTTGCTCTTGAGTTCTTTTCTGAGCAAACCTAAGAATCCTCCCTGTCTAAGCCCCAATTTTGGAGCTTGCCTAGCCTTGCATCCATAGCATGGGCTAACTGCTTCTGGTGCACCCAGCCTAAAGAGGCTGATGCTTGCAGGGTTGTATTCACAGAGCACAGGGCAGTTCGAGGAGGCCTCTCACCCTTGACTCATTCTGTCACCCAGGCTGGAATGCAGTGGTATGATCTCAGCTCGTACCACTGGCTAATTAAAAAAAAATTGCCAGGTACAGTGGCTCACACCTGTAATCCTAGCACTTTGGGAGGTCGAGGCAGGCGGATCACCTGAGGTCAGGAGTTTGAGACCAGCCTGGCCAACATAGTGAAACCCCGTCTGTACTGAAAATACAAAATTAGCTGGGCATGGTGGTACTTGCTTGTAGTTCCAGCTACTCAGGAGGCTGAGGCAGGAGAATCGCTGGAACCCAGGAGGCAGAGGCTGCAGTGAGCCGAGATTGCATCACTGCACTCCAGCCTGGGCAACAGAGCTGGACTCTGTCTCAAAAAAAATTTTTTTTGTTGTTGTGATGGTGTCTCACTGTCTTGCTCAGGCTGGTCTTGCACTCCTGCCCTAAAGTGATCCTCCTGCTTCTGCCTCCCATAGTGCTGGGATTACAGGCATGAGCCACCATGCCCGGGCTGGCTAAGTTGTCTTTAATGTTGCATGTCTGTGAACAAACACATCTATAGAGCCAGAAAAGTTGAGCATCCAACTTTTTATGACTTAATTCTCATGACCTGGCAATTTTGCAGCAAGAAGCCTGGGCTGGTGGTTTCAGGAGACTGAGTGAACAAAAGAAATACATTAACCAGGCTGGAAGAGAGGTGCTGGTTGTGGGTGTTTTCTGCTGGCCCCTGTTGATGTGTGCCTGTTAGCCCACCCGTGGGTGAGTGGGGCAGAGTGGCCGAACTGATTCTCAAGACAGGCATAAATTCCTCAGACTCCAAGTTAATAAAGCTTTAGTTTTCAGCCTGAATGAATGTGTCTCCAGAACATGTTATAAACTTGATCAGCTCAGAGGGAAAAAGCTGTGTCCACACTACGTGGTTTATACAACCTGTCGGGAATTCAGCATGATGAAGAAATGCAGAAAACAAGTGTGAACAGATACATAAAAGGCGATCTCGGCTCACTGCAACCTCTGCCTCCTGGGTTCAGGCAATTCTCCTGCCTCAGCCTCCTGAGTAGCTGGGATCACAGGCACCCGCCACCAAGCCCAGCTAATTTTTCTATTTTTAGTAGAGACAGGGTTTCACCATATTGGCCAGGCTGGTCTCGAACTCCTGACCTCGTGAACTGCCCACCTCGGCCTCCCAAAGTGCTGGGATTATACGCATGAGCCACTGCGCCTGGCCTATTCCTGGGCTTTTATATATAGAACATTTTTTCACATTTTAAAGGAATATTTATGTTTAATTGTGGTATATTTCAAATACATGGAAAATTACAGAAAATAAATAACAACCACTCATTTATCTTCTCCCCAACCCCATGTAACAAATTTTAGAATACTGTGTTAAATGCTAAATTTAACATGTTAAAGATTCCTGGCTGGATGTGGTGGCTTACACCTGTAATCCCAGCGCTTTGGGAGGAGGAGGTGGGAGGATTGCTTGAGTCCAGGAGTTCAAGACCAGCCTGGGCAACATAGTGAGATCTCATCTCTACAAAAAACAAAAAAAATAGCTGAGCATGGTGGTGCGCACCTGTATTCCCAGTGACTAGGAGGCTGACGTGGGAGGATTGCTTCTGCCTGGGAATTTGAGGCTACAGTGAGCCCTGATCCTGCCATTGTGTTCCAGCCTGGGCAACATAGCAAAACCTGTCAAAAAAAAAAAGAGTTTCCTTCTCTGGCCCATAATAGGCAATCACTCTTCTAACTTCGATCTTCATAGATGGATTTTGCCTGTTCTTTAACTTCTACATGAAAGGAACCAGACATTAGGCATTCTGGTGTCTGGCTTCTTTCACTTAAGATAAAATTGCCTTAACCTGTGGTGTTGCACGGAACTGTAGCTTGTTCTTTGCTACTTATTTATTTATTGTAAAGACAGGGTCTGGCTATGTTGCTCAGGCTGGTCTTGAACTCCTGGCCTGAAGAAATTCACCCACCTTGGTCTCACCGAAACTCTGGGACCACAGGCATGAGCCGTGGCATCCTGCCCGTAGTTTGATCTCATTTCTTGCTGAGTGGTAGCGCATTGCATGACTTTGCTACTTTCAGTGTCCATTCTCATCTGGAGGGGTGCTGCTTTGTGAAACCACACCCTGGCCTAGCTCCCCCTCTCCCTGACTCTCTCCAGGCTCACATCCACATGCTGGGGTCTCTGCAGCCATTCTGCTTCCTGCTCTTCCACTCCTGTGGGACCCTGGGTACCAACCGGCTCCCAAGGCTGGGGAGGGTGGTCTTCTGGGAGAAGGAAGCCAGGTCCCTGCAGGTGGTGTAGGGGGAGTGGATGAGGGTTTTTCCCCAGGGCGTCATTGGTCTCTGCCCCTACTTCTGTTCTCTGATTAACCAGGGCCCTCTTACCCACTGTGCCCCTCCTCCTGCTGCGTGGAGGCCCTGAGTCATTATTTTAACTACCCCCTGGAGAGTGAGCACCTTCTGTGCTCTGTCCCCAGCACTCCACTTCCCCTCGACACCCTGCTCAGGGATGACCTTCGGCGTCGTGCTCCTTCTGGGTGGTGATTGGGGCCAGGGGGTTGGAGAGAAGCTTGGAGGGGTTCTGTGGGGTCTCCATCTGGGAGGGCAGGCTGGAGGCTGGTGGTAGGCTCTCACTACTCTCGTAAAGAGCTGAAACAGGGAGCCGCCTCGTGTGCGAGTGGCCTGGAGTCGGGAGAGTGTGACCTGAACAAAGAGGGGATCAGGGTCTCTGCTCATATGGTGACTAAGCTGCCTCTCCAGATGGCCATGTTGGCCCAGGCTTCCCTGCTCCTATTCATGGGGTCCCTGATGTGGGTGAGAGAGGTCTCCCCAGCTTCCCCCTGGGAGTGGAAAGCCGCAGAATCCACCAGGGAGGGGAAAACGTTAGATATCACCTCTGTGGGCCTGTTTTCCCCAAGTCCTGACTGCACGTAGGGAAGAGTCCCCCTGGTGAAAACTGCATCACAGCCACATTCACGTGACATGGAAACTCAGGCCTGGCCAGGCGCAGTGGCTCATGCCTGTAATTCCAGCACTTTTGGAGGCTGAGATGGGCAGATCACCTGAGGTCAGGAGTTCGAGACCAACCTGGCCAACGTGGTGAAACCCCATCTCTACTAAAAATACAAAAAAGAGTGGGCATGGTAGTGTGCACTTGTAACCCCAGCTACTTGGAAGGCTGAGGCAGGAGAATCACTTGAACTCAGGAGATAGAGATTGCAGTGAGCCAAGATTACACCATTCCACTTCAGCCTGGGCAACAGAGCGAGACTCCATCTCAGGAAAAAAAAATAAAAAAGAAGAGGCCGAGAGGTCTGAGGGGTTGGGGCTTCTTTAACTCCCAACCCCACCCCCCAACCCCTGCCAAATATTCCTCAGTCCTGGCTTCTTATCATGGATTCAACCTGGATGTGGAGGAGCCCACGATCTTCCAGGAGGATGCAGCTGGCTTTGGACAGAGTGTGGTGCAGTTTGGTGGATCTCGGTAGGCACCACTCACCACCCCCCACAACCTCCACCGCATCGTGTGCTGTGGGTGGGTACACACGGGCTACTTCAGGGAGGTGTCCTGGAGGAAGGGCAGCAGGGGTGAGGAGTCTTTCTTTGGCTCCTTGGAGGCCCTGACACCACGTATTATTGATCTCTAAAAATGAGTGGAAAAGAACAAATTTTGCTGAGACAAGCGATAATACGAGTTAGGTGAAGTTAGAGAATTTTATAGTTGCTGAAATCAGCAAATTGTGAGTTTCAAGCACTGCTTATGGAAGGAAGTCCAAAATTAAAGGTGACGTAAGAAATGTGTAAAAGATGAGGTGCAGGGAAGATGGAGGAAGTGAAGAGATCTTTAAATTTTTGAATTGTGAAGAATCATCAATCCCAAGAAGGGCCACAAAATTATAGGCAAGACCCTACCTCACCTCGGGCGGGAGGCGTTTAATCTGCCAGCTACGGGGCCAGTGCAGTCACATGGGGCCCACACTCATTATGTTTGGAGTTTAATGTTCTGCCCTTGACCTCTTGAAATTCCTGATGATTTTTACTCCATCTCTGTTGTTTTACTCCAGCTCTGTTGCCCAGGCTGGAGTGCAGTGGTGCAATCACAGCTCACTGCAGCCTCAATCCAGACTCAAGTGATCCTCTCACCTCAGCCTCCTGAGCAGCTGGGACCACAGGTGCATGCCATCATGCCTGTTTTATTTTGTTTTACTCTTTATAGAGACAGGGTCTTGCTATGTTGTCTAGACTGGCTGAACTCCTGGGCTCATGTAATCCTCCGGCCTTGGCCTCCCAAAGTGCTGGGATCACAGGTGTGAGCCACCCTGCCTTGCCAATTCTTCATGATTTTATCTGTGCATTTGTGTTTTGTAAGTGAAGAATGATGGCAGGGCTGGGCATCGTGGCTCATGCCTGGAACCCCAGCACTTTGGGAGGCTGAGGCAGGCAGATCACCTGAGGCCAGGAGTTTGGCCTACACTGAAATCCCGTCTCTACTAAAAATACAAAAAAATTTAGAAAGGTGTGATGGCGGGCACCTGTAACCCCAGCTACTTGGGAGGCTGAAGCAGGAGAATTGCTTGAACCTGGGAGGTGGAGGTTGCAGTGAGCCGAGATTGCACCATTGCACTCCAGCCTGGGTGACAGAGTGAGACTCTGTCAAAAAAACGAAAAAACAGACAAAAAAGAGTGATAGGAGAAGGGAGATGCACTGGGGGTTTGGAGCCTCGGCTCAGCAGCAGCCCCACCTCTCACCACCTCTTAAGGAAGGGTCTCAGCTGCTGGCTCCGCCACCCATGTGGGTGCAGTGACCGCTGCCACCTTTTGCCCCTGGCATGAGCTGGGTAAAGTCAGGGTTAGTTGTACTCACACTGTGCGTACCCTGAGGGAGTGGGGACACTACATAGCAAATGCAAAAAACCAGGACAGGTTTAGGGAGAGAGCAGAAGAAAGGAAAGAGCCTCCCAACCCCAAGAGACCCCACATTTAAATTTTGAATTGGGACCCACAAATTATGAACCTGCCCCCGCTTCCAGGAGCTCACTGGGACATTCTCCTGTCCCAGAGAGCTCAAGTCACAATGTGACACAGGTGTCACCAAGGTCTGGGGGGCACAGGCAGGGAATGAGCAGACCCGGGAGGGCTCCATGGAGGAGGTGGTGCTGGCAATGAGCCCCAGAGAACAGGAAGGTTCAGTTGGTCACAAGGAGGTACAAGAGGTCACCAAGCTCCAACCACACATCCCTCCCCCTTCCTCACATGGCCGGCAGTCTGGGGGGATGGAAGCAAGTGCCAGGCACCAGGCTTTTTTCCTTATTTGGAAATGTGGCCAACTGAAGAGCACAGATCTGAAAGACCAAACTTAATGAAGGGTTACACCTATGTGTGCCATAGTGAGCACCACCTAGGCCAGCTGCTCCTGTGTAAAACCCCACAGGCACAGGGCTGCCATGGGCCCCTTCTCATTACCCAGCAAACCCAGAGATCCCCTGGTCTGACTTCCATCACCATCAGCTTTTCAGGCCCCATTAAAAAAAGAATATATTGGCTGAGTGCTGTGGTTCCTATCTACAAACCCAGCACTTTGGGAGGCCAAGGCAGGAGGATTGCTTGCGGCCCAAAATTTAAGACCAGGCTGGCCAATATAGCAAGATCCTGTCTCTATAAAAAAAAAAAAAAAAAAAACAGCTGGGTGAGGAGGCGCGCATCTGTAGTCCCAGCTAGTCAGGAGGCTGAGGCAGGAGGATTACTTGAGTCCAGGAGGTTGAGGTTGCCATGAGCCATGATCGTGCCACTGCATTCCAGCCTCGGTGACAAAGTGAGACCCTGTTTTTAATCGAACAGAAAAAGAGAATATAAAACTATTTATTGGGCCGGGCGCGGTGGCTCAAGCCTGTAATCCCAGCACTTTGGGAGGCCGAGGCGGGTGGATCACGATGTCAAGAGATCGAGACCATCCTGGTCAACATGGTGAAACCCCGTCTCTACTCAAAATATAAAAAATTAGCTGGGCATGGTGGCGCACGCCTGTAATCCCAGCTACTCGGGAGGCTGAGGCAGGAGAATTGCCTGAACCCAGGAGGCGGAGGTTGCGGTGAGCCGAGATTGCGCCATTGCACTCCAGCCTGGGTAACAAGAGTGAAACTCCGTCTCAAAAAAAAAAAAAACAAAAAACTATTTATTGCTCACCATTCCCCAGTACTCACGTTACAGTAAACTAATATATCGTTGGTAACGCTCTGGTCTGGTCTGGGGGCCAGAATCACCAAGGTCTGGGGGGCAAAGGCAGGGAGTGAGCAGACTCAGGAGGGCTCGATGGAGGAGGTGGTGCTGGAGTGAGTCTGAGAGGATAGGAAGGCTCAGTTGGTCACAGGGAGGGCTCCATGGAGGAGGTGATTACAAGGAGGAGGTTACTATAAAGTCACTGTTTTTTCTGGCTTCTGTTGATTCATAACCCAATACTGAAAAGATGGAGCCAGCCTGTCAGGAAGGGTTTGGGTAAATAAAAACATAAGGGTTGATAGCTTACACTAAAGGTCTGCTTTTCATTCGTATCAGAGGGTCCCCAACTGCTGCCTCTCTAGCCGAAGCTCAGGGTTTCATCACAAAGCTTTAGGTGTCCCCTGCACCACGTCACGCAGACTGTAGCTTTCTGTAGAGGAGGGGCCCTATAGAAGGAGTCCCCGTAAGCCCATTTATCAAAGCCTTGCTTGGCACATTAAAATACACCAGTATTTGTCTGTTTTTCTCACCTGGGTGGGGAGATTGTGGATAGTGATGAACATTTCCAAAATTAAAAAATTTTTCCCACTTAGGGAGTTTTGCAAATAAACCATCAACTCTACATAACTATAGATATAGCTGTGAATCCTGGTATACTACTTTAAACTGGTCAATTGAAATTGCTCATATAATATTTACATTGATCCAATGAATTGACTATTTATTTTGAAGGCTTCTGTCTTCAGGAAATTGTTTCAATTAACTTGAGATGATCTATTTCTTGGGTGGCTCAAAGTAATGGCAACTCAGAAATGCAATGTACTTACCCATGATGGGGAAATGCCATTTTGGTCTTTAAATAGTTTTCTTTTTGGTGAATATTAAAAAAAATTGTTTTTCTAAACATAAATACACACATACGTATGTATGAAGGCTCAAAACCAAATGAACAGAAACCCAGCAGGGTCCCTGGGCGTTTGTGGGTTACACCCGGGCCCTGATTTCTGAACATTCTGCCAAGCGGCCAGGAACTACCCTCACAAAGTCTCACTTCCCCATGGAGGGGCACTTCCTTGCCCCCAAGTGCCCGCGGCTTCCACTCTTCCTGCAGTTGCAGTGACATGGCCACGGTTGTGTCTCCAGACTCGTGGTGGGAGCCCCCCTGGAGGTGGTGGCGGCTAACCAGACGGGACGTCTGTATGACTGCGAGGCTGCCACCCATGTGTGCCAGCCCATCCGGCTGCACAGTGAGTGACCAACCTGGGAACTGGGGCCCTCAACCCTCCTGAACCCAACTGTGCCCCCTGCTTAGCTTCCAGTCTAGGCCCTCCCCACAAATGAGTGTGTTTGTGAGTGAGGTCCCACGTGTCTGCCCTCGAACTCTGCCCCGAGGCCGTGAACATGTCCCTGGGTCTGACCCTGGCAGCCTCCACTCACCTCTTCTGGCTTCTGGTGAGTGAGTGCCTCTGGCCAGGGGAGAGTTGTGGGGGAGGAGGCCAGGGCTGGGGGTGAGGAGGAGCGGGTGCTGGGGGCTCCTGGCTCACAGGCTTCTGTTCCAGGCCTGTGGCCCAACTCTGCACAGAGCCTGTGGGGAGAACTTGTACTCAAAGGGTTCCTGCCTCCTGCTGGGCTCTCACTGGGAGATCATCCGGACAGTCCCTGATGCCCTGCCAGGTAGGTCCCCTGCAGGCCATGGCTCCTGCTGAAGCATGTGCTGGCACTGAGGGTGGGCAGGTGTAAGGCCTTTGTCTGGGCCCCTGTACCCTCCCTTGAGGGCTGAGTGTAGCTAGGAGAGAAGCCGGGAGGGGAGGGCCTCTCAGGCAGAAGCCCTGCTGCTCCAGGGTAGAAGTTCTTTGTAGGGTTTTTTCTTTTCTTCTTTTTTTCCCTTTTTAAGACAGGGTCTCTGCTGGGCATGGTGGCTCATGACTATAATCCCAGCACTTTAGAAGGCTGAGACGGGCAGATCACCTGATGTTAGGAGTTCACAACTGGCCTGGCCAATGTGAGGAAACCCCTCTACTAAAAATACCAAAAAAATTAGCTGGATGTGGTGGCCTGCATCTGTAATCTCAGCCACTCAGAAGGCTGAGACAGGAGAATCGCTTGAACCTGGGAGGCGGAGGTTGCAGTGAGCCAAGATTGCAACATTGCACTCCAACCTGGGTGACAAGAGCAAAACTCCATCTCAAAAAAACCAAAAACGAAAAAACAAAAAACAGGGTGTCTGTCAGGCTGCATGCACACCCTGATGATTTTTTTGAGACAGATTCTTGCTATATCACCCAGACTGGAGTGCAGTGGTGCAATCATAGTTCACGGCAGTTTCGAACTCCTGGGCTCAAGTGATCCTCCTCCCTCAGCCTCCCGAGTAGTTGGGACTGTGGGTATATGCACCACACCTGGCTAATTTTTCTTTCTTTTATTTTATTTTTTTTGTGGAAATGGGGGTCTTGCTATGTTGCCCAGGCTGGTCTTGAACTCCTGGGCTCAATGGATCCTCCACCACAGTCTCTCAAAGAGTTGGGATTACAGACATGAGTCCTTGTGCCTGGCCTGAAGGGTGAAAGTTCTGATGGGGGCAGAGAGGAGCCTCAGTGTGCAGGTTGTGGAGGGCACGAGTATCTTCCAGTTGCCAACAAGTGCACGGCCACTTCTTGAGTTTCAGAGGAAGGACCTTAGGGTGGTGAAGATGTGGTGAGGATGATAAATCCATGAGGGAGGTGTTTCTTCTGGATGGTTCACGGCTGAGCTTCAAGGATTCCCCAAACTAATTTTCCTCTCTAAGGGAGCCAACAGGACTCCGGAAAAAGTGATGTGCAATTTTATCAGTGTCCACGTCTTTCACAGAGAACGGGGCTTGAGGACACCACCGTGGCATCTCTCTGAGGGGCGGTCTGCATCATGGTGGTGCCCAAGTTCACTTTCCACGGGTGCCAGGCTTCATTCCCTTAAAGCTTCATTTCCTCGAAGGCATTCAGTTTCCTCATTGGCAAAATAGAGCTCAATAATCAGGGGGTTATGTAGACGGAAGGGATTGAGGTGTAAAAAGCACTTGGAACCCTGCCTGGCACATAGTATACGTTAGCCCCTCTGACCCGTCTTCCAGCTGGGGACTGTGTGCTGGGACTGGGAGGAAGATACAGGCAAACTGTCTCATCTGCGGTGCTGGTGGGAATGCCAGGGGCTGCTCAGGGTGCTGACCGAGGGTGTCGCTTGAGTCAGAGAGGCCATGATGCCAGGCATGCTGGGCCTTTAGACAAAGGTGGAGCAGCCGCAGAAACATCCCCAGAGCAAATGGTGAAGGTGGAGTCTATGGAGGGGTCCGAGGGAAGGGGGAAGGGGCATCCAGGGCTCCTGGGGGGACCACAGCCAGCCTGAGATTTCTGTGAAGCCAGCTTAGGGAGGTGGCACTTAAAAACAAGGGGTAAATGTGTTATCAGAATTATCTCTGAAACTCATGAGGTGGGATGCCTGATGCAAATGGACTGGAGCATAATCATGGTGCAGGCAAGTTGGGTGTGGGCCCAAGTGGAAGGGTCCAGGTCCACTGAGCATCACCTGTGTGCCAGGCAGTGCTGAGTGCCTGGTAGGAATCACCTTACTACATCCTCACCACATCCCGGGTGGTGGGCAGGCCCATTCCCATTTTACAGAGGAGAAAACCAAGGTTCAGAGAGATGAGTTCCCATTGATAGCAAGAGGCAGAGCCCAGAGCTTGAGCCATCCTTGCCTGATTGGCAGAGTCTTTTTTCGAAAGGACATGTCCAGGCTCCTGCTAGTGCAAGGCCAGGGGATTCAATAAAAAGACCAAGAAACAGAAGAGACGTTGTGAGAGGATTGCCACAGACCTGGCCTGAGAGAGGATGAGAGGGTGGTTTTTGGATGCAGCTGAAAAAATGGGCACCACTGCAAGATGTTGGCTGCCCAGACGTGGGCAAAAAAGGGGAGCTCCTAGGGGATCTGCAGCCTGCTCTGTGGATGTTGAGATTTGCTGGTGATTGAAGAAACAGGAAGGGAAGTGACCTTCTGTTTCTCCCCAGCACCCTTGAAGCACCAGGTGGTTGAACAGCTGGGTCTGGGGAGAGGAAAGAGGGAAGGCATTTTTTTTCACAGTGGTGGGTAGGGGGCAAAAACCACAGCCCTGCGGTGTGGGCCTCACACCTTAGTGCTCTGGTGGCCAGATCTCCCACCGCCCTGGGGGCAGCACAGGATGTGGCTGCTGGTGGAGCCACCAAATGGGCCCTGAACATGGTCACATCCCCCACATGAGCCTGGGGACAGCATGAAGAGTCTTGTTTGTTGATGTGCATATGGTGTGTCCTCATGACTGCGGAGTGAGCTCCACGAGGGCAGGGGTGGCATCTCTTTTAAAGCCATGGTCTTAGGTGTGGTCCCCCCAGGCAGACTCTGAGGTCACTTGGGAATGTTCTTTTTTTTTTTTTTTTTTGAAATGGAGTCTCACTCTGTGGCCCAGGCTGGAGTGCAGTGATGTGATCCCAGCTCACTGCGACTTCCACCTCCTGGGTTCAAGTGATTCTCCTGCCTCAGCCTCCTGAGTAGCTGGGATTACAGGCACCCACGACCATGCCCGGCTACTTTTTTTGTATTTTTAGTAGAGATGGGGTTTCACCATGTTGTCCAGGCTGGTTTTGAATTCCTGACTGTAAGTGATCTACCCTCCTCAGCCTCCCAAAGTGCTAGGAATACAGGCGTGAGCCACTGCGGCTGACTTGGAATGTTCTTGGGTGCCGCACCTGTGGGAGTGTGAAGAGTGGATGCAATACAATCATAACAGAGGCCCAAGGCCAACTCGGGGGCACTCACTTGTCATCCCAGCACTGTGGGAGGCCAAGGTGGGTGGATCGTTAGAGCCCAGGAGTTTGAGACCAGCCTGGGCAACATGGCAAAACTCCATCTCTACAAAAAATACAAAAATTAGCCAGGCAAGGTGGTGCATGCCTGTAGTCCTAGCTACACAGGAGGCTGAGGTGGGAGACCTGCCTGAGCCTAGGGAGGTTGAGGATGCACTGACCTGTGATCACACCACTACACCCCAGCCTGGGTGACAGTCAGACTCTGCCTCAAAAAAAACAAGAAATGAAAAAACCAGAGGCTTCAGCCAATGCCTGGGGGGCTCAGTGTGCAGCTGGTCCTTCAGACCCAAACCAGTCATCAGATAAAGGTTGCCTTCAGGTGCAGAAGGTGTCCCCGTGGGTGACAGTTCCCTTCTGCCTAGCGCAATTCCTGGGAAGGGACTCAGCTGAGAGCCAAATCCACGGAGCTGGAAATGAGGGCCTCTGTCCTGATGAGGGGTGGGGCGGGGTCTAAGGTGGATCCCTGGCCCTCTTCCCCCTCCCCACAAGCCCGCCACCCTGCATCTTCCCTACAGGCAAATCCTACAGGCCTCAAAGGTGCCTGGCACATGGTGAGGATGGGGCTGGACCCTGGCGGAGGGCCAGGCCTTGCCTCCCGCATCTATGCGCATGCTGCTTTATCCTTGCAGTGATCCCACGTGGTAGCCACTGCTACTACCTTCATTTTACACACAGGGACACTGAAATTCCACAGAAGTTTAGTAATCTGAATTCACCAGTTAGCACGTGGCTGAGCTGCGGTTTAGCGCAGGCGCACTGGCTCCAGAACACGCACCCTGAATCATTTTGCTTGACATTCTCCCACAATGCTTGTAGCACCCCTAACGTCTGTGTTTGATGAATTATTTGTTGATTAAATGAATGAGGAGCCACCAGGGCCCTGCGTTCTCCTCCTGCTCTTTCCAGGCTATGTGAGAGGAAGGGAGCAGGGGGCTGGCGCGGCTGATCAGGGCCTCCTCCAAGGAGAGGTCGGAAACCAGGTGGGGATGCCAAGAACAGCCTCTGGGCTCTGTTGAGCAGGAGCTGCAGGAAGGGGCTGGGCCCCTGCAGTGCGTCTCTGATTCCTCCTCATTCCCCTACAGTGCATCCACATCAAGAGATGGACATCGTCTTCCTGATTGACGGCTCTGGAAGCATTGACGAAAATGACTTTAACCAGATGAAGGGCTTTGTCCAAGCTGTAATAGACCAGTTTGAGGACACTGATACCCTGGTGAAGACTGGGCACCTGGGGCTGGGGGGCGGGGGAGGCTGGCCTGGGGGAGGCATCCCAGGTAGGGGTGGGGGCAGGTCGGCGGAGCCGCGTGCGATGGGGCTGGGCTGGAGGATGAAGCTGTGGTCCCAGCGCAGGCCTGACTTGAATCCTGACCTAGGAGGCCCCCCCCCCATGGCATTTAATAGGTATCCGGAAACTACAGAAAATACAATGTTTCTGCCATTTAAAAACGTTGAAAGCGTTTAAAAAATAATTCTGCTATGAAATTTGACTGACTATAACTCAGCAACTGATTGATGGTTTATTTTATTTTCCATGTAACTAATGATTTTTTATTATTTCCCAGCAAGTAGCACCTATGTATGTGCAAAAAAACCCACTTTTTTTTTTTTTAAACAGGGTCTTGCTCTGTCATCCCGGCTGCAGTGCAGTGGTGCAATCACAGCTCGCCGCAGCCTGGACCTCCCAGGCTCAAGTGATCCTCTGGCCTCAGCTTCCCGAGTAGTTGGGACTACAGGTGCATGCCACCATGCCTGGTTAATTTTTAAATTTTTATTTGTAGAGATGGAGTCTTGCTATGTTGCCCAACATGGCCTGTAACTCTTAGCCTCAAACGATCCTCCCACCTCGGCCTCCCAAAGTGCTGGGATTACAGGCATGAGCCACCTTGCCCAGCCACAAATTCTTGAGAAGTGAGGAAATACATAAATTGATTTAAGGCATGATAAAATTTTTTAAAAGCGAAGGGTAGCAAATATTGTGGTTGGCAAAGTGATTCTTTGTAAACTGCGAAGGAAACATCACTTGGTTTTGATTTTCCAGTTTACATTTTGTATTTTTGGGCCAGTGAATTTTCTTCTCTGGGTGTCAGTATATTATTTTCAGGGCCTCAAAACACATGGGAAATGTTTTGTAAATCCAAAATAATTCCAAATAAAAAGTTTACTAACAATAAAACCAAAATGGCTGGGTGTGGTGGCTCACATATGTAATCCCAGCACTGTGGGAGGCTGTGGTGGGAGGATTGATTAAGGCCAGGAGTTCGAGACCATCCTGGGCAACATAGACCTTTTCTCTACCAAAAAAAAAAAAAAGCCAGGCATGGTGCCATGTGCCTCTAGTTCCAGCTACTTGGGAGGCTAAGGCAAGAGGATCACTTGAGGCCAGGAGTTTGAGACCAGCCTGGACAACATAATGAGACCCTGTCTGTACAAAAAGTTAAAATAAAAGCTGGGCGCAAAGGCTCACACCTGTAATCCCAGCACTTTGGGAGGCTGAGGCAGGCGGATCACGAGGTCAAGGGTTCGAGACCAGCCTGACCAACATGGAGGAACCCCGTCTGTACTAAAAATACAAAATTAGCCGGGTGTGGCAGTGCGCACCTGTAATCCCAGCTACTCAGGATGCTGAGGCAGGAGAATTGCTTGAACCTGGGAGGCGGAGGTTACAGTGAGCTGAGATCATGCCATTGCACTCCAGCCTAGGTGTCAAGAGCGAAACGCTGTCTCAAAAAAAAAAAAAAAAAATTAAAATTAAAACAATGGTAACAGCTGCTAAGTCCTGGGCCCTCCCCACTGGCCTTTGCAGTTTGCACTGATGCAGTACTCAAACCTCCTGAAGATCCACTTCACTTTCACCCAATTCCGGACCAGCCCAAGCCCACAGAGCCTGGTAGATCCCATCGTCCAACTGAAAGGCCTGACATTCACAGCCACGGGCATCCTGAAAGTGGTGTAAGCACCCCCGATCCTGGCCTGCGGATGTGACTGCCACCCCCACTTCCTAACCATGGGTCAGCACAACTTCTCAGAGGCTGAGGGAGGCTGGGGAAAGGGGTTACCAAGCACGTCGGGGCTGCAGGGAGAACCTCTCCCCCGGGTGCTCCTGGCTGCTCACTGCCGGTCTCCCTGATATAAGACTAGGCTTTTCTGCGTTATGCCTCCGCTTTGCCTGGTTCTGTGGAACCTGGACCTCAGGACCCCCACTTCCTGCTCCCCCACCCCCTACAGCAGCCAGAGGCCTAGGCTTTGTCTCAGATACATCAGGCTCCCATGCTGGCTCCCCGAGAGCTACTCTGGGCGTAACCCTGGGAGCGATGGGCTGTAAGTCTCAGTGACTCTCAGAGGAGGATACGCTTACAGGTTAGGACTGAGACCACGTATGTGGGGTACTTAGACCATGTTGGGGGGGTACTCACCTCAGCAGGAGGTGTCAGATAAATGCCTGAGATTTTATCAGAGAATGGAGCAGTCAGTGACTTAGGAATTGTCACCCAGGGTCGTCCTGGTGCCTTTCTCCCCACTCAGTTCCTGCCCTGCTTCCCTCACCCCTGCGCTGCCAGGCGCTCACCCACGCCTGTCCCGCACATGTGGTCTACACCTAAAACAACGTAGGAGGTGGGGCTCCCGAGAAGGTCATGTGGTTCTGTGGAAAGCTGCTGGGCTGAAGGTCTGGATCCTTGGCTTCTTGCACACATCCCTGGGAGCATGCTAGAATTTGGCTTAAGCATTAGATGGTCCTGCCAAACTCACCCTTTTTATTTCTGGAAGGCTCTTCTGCCTTGAATGGTGGCCTCTTGTAACTCAGCAACCCAGAGGAAGGCCTCCATCTGTCCTGTAAGTTTAAAGTCACACGGGAGTGTCCCCTTCTGGAATCTCCACCTCACCCCTCAAAGTTCTTCCGGTGTTGGGGCCTGGAGAAAAAATGAATGAGGCAGGGGCGACCGAGTGGATCTCACCAACTCCAGTCCTGCACCCAAGCCCAGAGTACAGGGAATTTCCCAGCAGCCTCCGCTCCCCAGAGCCATGCACATCTCAGGACTGGAACCAGCGAAGGATTAGACCTCCCTGACCCTGGTCCTTCCTTCCTCCTTCCCTCCCTCCCTTTGCCCCTCTGCTTCCTTCCTTCCTTCCTTCCTTCCTTCCTTCCTTCCTTCCTTCCTTCCTTCCTTCCTTCCTTCCTTTCCCTTCCTTCCTTCTTTCCTTCCTTCCTCTCAGCCAAGGATTGGACCTCCCTAACCCTGGTCATTCCCTCCCTCCCTTCCTTCACCCCTCTCCTCCCTACCTCCCTCCCTCCCTCCTTTCTTCCCTCCCTCCCTCCCTCCTTCCTCCCCCCTTTTCTCCCTTCCTTCTTTCTCTCTTTTTTTTTGTCATTCAGGCGGGAGTGCAAAGGCGTGATCTTGGCTCACTGCAACCTCCACCAATCAGTTCAAGCAATTCTTCTGCCTCAGCCTCCCAATTATGTGAAACTACAGGCCTACATCACCGCACCTGGCTAATTTTTGTATTTTTTAGTAATGGGGTTTCACCATGTCAGCCAGGCTGGTCTTGAACTCCTGACCTCAAGTAATCTGTCTGCCTCATCCTCCCAAATACTGGAATTACCGGTGTGAGCCACTGTACCCGGTCTCTTTCTTCTTTTCTTCCCTTTCTTCTCTTTCTTTCTTTTTTTTTTTTTAAGAAGTTTTATTACAAAAAAGCAAAAACAAAGTAAAACCCAAATGGCAATAGCAGTAAGGAAACTTCTTTAAAAATATTATATTACCCTCAGTCCCTCTAGTCAACCACCCTACAGTGTTTTAGCAACATCAAGGGATACCTACAAGGGAATCAGTAAATCTCAGTCACATAGCACAGTGCTACTGCCATCCTCACCTTTCTTCAGGTTTCTTTTGTATGGTCACATTCGGGGCAGAAACTATTTTCACCTTGTTTGCTTTTTTTTTCTCCCTCATCTACGTCCACAATTTTTTGTTTTTTGTTTTTTGAGACAGGTCTTGCTCTGTTACCCAGGCGGGAGGGCAGCAGCACGATCACGGCTCACTCTAGCCTCCCACTCTGGGGCTCAACAATTCTACCTCCTCAGCATCCCGAGTTGGGACCATGGGTGCATGCCACCACATCTGGCTAATTTTTCAAAACAGTTTTTGTAGAGATGGGGTCTTGCTCTGTTGACCAGGTTGGTCTTCAACTCCGGGCCTCAAAAGATCCTCCTGCTTCGGCCTCCCATACTGCTTGCAACAGCTGTGTGCTTTTCTGCTAACAGGCTAGGTCATCACTGGCTAGACCCTTCCCCGGTGTCAGATATTTGGGTTGTTTCCAGTATCATATTTGGAAACTGTGTGTATTTGCTCTGAGTTTATAGAGTTACATGAGCAGATAGTTATTTATTTATTTATTTACTTTTGAGATGGAGTCTCGCTCTGTTGCCCAGGCTGGAGTGCAGTGGCACGATCTCGGCTCACTGCAACTTCTGCCTGCCGGGTTCAAGCGATTCTCCTGCCTCAGCCTCCTGAGTAGCTGGGATTACAGGGGCATGCCACTCTGCCCGGCTAATTTTTGTACTTTTAGTAGAGACGGGGTTTCACCATGTTGGTCTGGCTGGTCTCAAACTCCTGAGCTCGTGATCCACCCGCTTCGGCCTCTCAAAGTGATGCGATTACAGGCATGAGCCACCGCCCTCGGCTGATAGTTACATTTTTAATTGTTTGTTACAGCTGCCATCTAATTGGTGTAAAAGCGTGGCCGTGTTTAAGCCTGGGGATAACAACACTACTGGTTTCAGTTATCTACTGTTGCCAACACACCATCCCCAGGTTAAGTGGATTAAGCAGCAATGCTTCATAATTTTTCTTGGTCCTGGGGCTCCGCTGGGCAGATCTCCTGCTGTTCTTGAGAGCGTCTCTCACATGACTGTGGTCCAGTGTTGAGCCGGCACATGGAGAGCGTCATTCCTGCGTCCAGTGCCTGGGCAGGATGGGCTGGAAGACAGGCTCAGTGGGGACGGCTGGGCCTCTTCTGCCGGGTGACCTTCCTCCAAGCGGCTACTCCATGGGCACCTCCAACAGGGCAGCCGACTCCTCTCATTGTGGCTCAGGGCCCCAAAAGTGCAAAAGCAAAAGAAACCAAGGCTTCTGAGACCTGTAACTGGCATGATGTCATTTCCACCGCATGCTACTGATGAGGGTAGGACTCAGCCAGGCCAGGTCCAGTGTGGGAGAGAACCAGGTGTGATCCACTGGGGGCCGGCTTTAGAGACAGCTGTAGTGCAGTTATTATCCTCATTTCATGGATAGAGGCAGAGGCCGGGAGAGGTTAAGTCCCATGCCCCAGTCTGACTCCAAAGCCCCTGCTCTGAACCACACTGCCTCCAGGGAAGAGAGTTCAGCTATGGATAGAATTTTAGAAACAAAGAATGAGACTTCCTTTATTATTGATCCGACTAATTATGGTTTTCATGGCTTTCAAAAATGGCTAAATTAGTTGAGTGCGATGGCTTAACACCTGTAATCCCAGCACTTTGGAGGCTGAAGTGGGTGGATCACTTGAAGTCAGGAGTTTGAGACCAGTTTGGCCAACATGGTGAAACCCCATCTCTACTAAAAATACAAAAATTAGTCGAGTGAGGACGGGTACCTGTAACCTCATCTACTCAGGAAGCTGAGGCCAGGGAATCCCTTGAACCCAGGAAGCGGACGCTGCAGTGAGCTGAGATCACACCACTGCGCTCCAAAACCTGGGCAGCAGAGTGAGACTCCATCTCAACAAAACCCCAAAATGACCAAAATCAATTCCTTAACATGCCTGATAGAGTATGAGGGCACCAGGATGCCCCAGCCTTTCAGATGAGAGAGCGGCAAGTGATGTCTTCCAGAATCAATCACATCTCAGTAGAATCATCTCCCTCTCTTCCCCGACAGGACACAGCTATTTCATCATGAGAATGGGGCCCGCAGAAGTGCCAAGAAGATCCTCATTGTCATCACAGATGGGCAGAAGTACAAAGATCCCCTGGAATACAGTGACGTCATCCCTCAGGTGGAGGAAGCTGGCATCATCCGCTACACCATTGGGGTGCGCCTCCTCCTCACCCTGGCCCCAGGCTCAGCCTGCACCTCCAGCAGGCACAGGACTGCTGGGCTCCCCCTCCTCAGCTGCCTTTCTGCTGCAGGTGGGAAACGCCTTCCAGAAACCCACCGCCAGGAAGGAGCTGAACACCATCGGCTCAGCTCCTCCGCAAGACCATGTGTTCAAGGTAGACAACTTCGCAGCCCTCGGAAGCATCCAGCAGCAGCTGCAGGAGAAGATCTTTGCAGTCGATGGTAAATGGGAGCAAGGGTGCGCCTGGGAGCCAAGGGGGTCCCCACCCAATTGTTCCGAGTCTTTTTTATTTTTTGATGGAGTCTCTCTGTCCCCAGGCTGGAGGGCAATGGTGCGATCTCGTCTCACGGCAACCTCTGCCTCCTGGGTTCAAGTCATTTTCCTGCCTCAGCCTCCTGAGTAGCTGGGAGCACAGGCGTGGGCCAACATGGCTGGCTAATTTTTGTATTTTTAGTAGGGGAAGGGGTTTGCCCTGTTGGCCAGGCTAGTATCGAACTCCTGATCTCAAGTGATCCAGCGCCCTCGGCCTCCCAAAGCGCTGGGATTATAGGCGTGAGCCACCACTCCCGGCCTGTCCCTCGCAGTCTTGATGGGCTATTCCTGTTCACAGCTCACTCAAATTTGCTCTCCGGAACCCAAGCCCCATATCACGTTCTCTTCCCTGTGTTCTGAGTCCTCATGGTCTCATGGCTTCTGGGAACCTCACTGAACTGTTTTCCTGCAGGAACCCAGTCCAGGACAAGCAGCTCCTTCCAACACGAGATGTCCCAAGAAGGCTTCAGTGCAGCCCTCACAATGGTGGGTAGAGCCTGCCCTCCATCCACAGTCTCGGACACCGACTCTGCTCCTGCCCTCGGCTGGGGGCTGTGAGCCAGATATAAATAAGAGCAGACCCTGTTCTTAAGTTCACCCCTCGCCAAGGAGATGCCCCCACGCTCTGTGTTAGGGGCCAGAAGCACAGCAGGGAGGAGGGTGGCTGGGGTGCTCTCAGGGATCACATATTCTGGTGGAGGAGACAGTAAGCCCCTCAGATGGCGCTAGGCATGGGGGTAGAGAGAGAGATGGCCAGAGAAGGCTCAGAGATGGAAAAGGCTGGCTCTAGAGGAATCAGGGGAGACTGCATTGGGCACAGGACAAAGCAAGTGCCAGGGTCCTCAGCGGGAGAGAGCCGGGCAGCCTGGAAGGAGAGGGCTGGAGGCTGAGGAGGACCAGGTGAAATTAAAGACGTGGTTTGGAAGTGTGAGTGTGTTCAAAGGATCCAGATGGGGCCTGGTGCTGTGGCTCATGCCTGTAATCCCAGCACTTTGGGAAGCTGAGACCTGTGGATCACTTGAGGTCAGGAGTTCAAGACCAGCCTGGCCAACATGGTGAAATCCCATCTCTACTAAAAATAAAAAAAATTAGCCAGACCTGGTAGCATGTGCCTGTAATCCCAACTACTTGGGAGGCCCAGGTGGGAGAACTATTTGAACCCAGAAGGCAGAGGTTGCAGTGAGCCGAGATCACGCCACTGCACTCCGGCCTAGGTGACAAAACAAGACTGTCTCAGGATCCAGATGGGTTTGCTTCAGAGTAATTTGTGGGTGTCTAGGGAGTGGTGAGATGAAGCAGGATTGGTCAAGAAGAATTGATACTGAAGAGAAGTCACACGTACTTGGGGGATCATTATACCTTTATTTCAATTTCTGTATGTGTTCTAAATTATCCATATCAAAAGTTCAAAAGAGCGATAAACCAAGTACACCCAGGAGGAAATGCCTGTGGCCCCCTGAAGGAGCTGAGGAAGCCCTCACAGAGGAGGCGACACTGAGGTTGACTTTTCCCGCCAGGCATAGTGACTCACACCTGTAATACTAGCACTGTGGGAGGCTGACGTGGGAGGGTCACTTGAGGCCAGGAGTCCAAGACCAGCCTGGGAAACACAGTGAGACTCTCTCTCTACAAAAAATTTTTAAAAAATTAGCCAGGTGTGGTAGCATGTGCTGTGGTCTCACTTACTCAGAAGGCTGAGATGGGGGGATTACGTGAGTCTAGGAGTTCAAGACTGCAGTGAGCTATGATCGTGCCACTGCACCACAGACCTGCGTGACAGCAACAGCCTGTCCTAAAAAAAAAAATGAAGTTGACTCTTCCAGAGAGGGAAAATGAGCAGAGAGGAGGAGGAGAAGAAGGGAAGGGAGGTGTCCAGGCCATAGGCTTGATGTACTTTGGAAGAGAGGGAGGTTCCATGGGTTTGACAGGGAAGGGTCCTAGGTGCCACCATAAGGCCTTGGAGATGGTTTTCCAGAGGGGGTGGCTGCACATTTGGGTTTGAGGAAGCCTAGGACTGGGGACAGGAGAGAGAGGGGAAGTGATGAGCATGGCAGGGGGCAGACAGGGCAGTGAGTGAGAGGGGACGGGGCCGGTGGAACAGTGGCTGTGGGGATAGGCAGAGGTCCAGAGGCTGCTGGTGAGGGCTGGGAAGACAAGGAAAGCCCAGACAGTGAGAGGCACAGGCGGCAGGCCTATCTCTGGGACACGCTGTCTTCCTGCTCTGGCCTCTGCTCAGCCCTGGAATCCTTCCTTCCCAGGATGGCCCCATCCTGGGGGCTGTGGGGAGCTTCAGCTGGTCTGGAGGTGCTTTCCTGTACCCCTCAAATATGAACCCCACCTTCATCAACATGTCTCAGGAGAATGTGGACATGAGAGACTCTTACTTGGGTGAGAAATGGCCAGGGGCTGGGGACAGGTGGGAGATGGGCTGCCCAGAGGTTCTGGGGAGGGGGGATGGGGGCTGGGCTGCCTGGGGTGGGGTCCAAGGTTCTAGGGAGAGGGGATGGGAGCCGCACTGCCTGAGGTGGGGTCCGAGATTCTGAGGAGGGGGTATAGGGGCTGCCCTGGCTGAGGGGGGTGTTCAGGGTTCTTGGGAGGGGGATGGGGCTGTGCTTGCTGGGGGGCGTCTAAAGTTCTGGGGAGGGTGGATGGGGGCTGCGCTGCCTGGGGCCGGGTCCAGGGTTGTGGGGAGGGGGTGTAGGGGCTGTGCTGGCCGGGGTGGGGTCCAAGGTTCTGGGGAGGGGGATGGGGGCTATGCTCCCTGGGATGGGGTCCAGGGTTCTGGGGAGGGTGGATGGGGGCTGTGCTGCCTGGGATGGGGTCCAGGGCTCTGGGAAGGATGGATGGGGGCTGTGCTGCCTGGGATGGGGTCCAGGATTCTGGGGAGGGTGGATGGGGGCTGTGCTGCCTGGGATGGGGTCCAGGGTTCTGGGGAGGGTGGTTGGGGGCTGTGCTGTCTGGGGCAGAGTCCAGGGTTCTGGACAGTGGGTAGAGGGGCTGTGCTGGCTGGGGTGGGGTCCAAGGTTCTGGGGAGGGGGATGGGGCTGTGCTGGCCGGGGTGGGGTTCAGAGTTCTGGGAAGGGGGATGGGGCCTGTGCTGGCTGCGGTGTGGTCCAGGGGTCTGGGGAGGGGGGATGAGGGCCTTAGTGCTGAGGCCTGGACCTCTCAGGTTACTCCACCCAGCTGGCCCTGTGGAAGGGGGTACAGAGCCTGGTCCTGGGGGCCCCCCACTACCAGCACACCGGGAAGGCTGTCATCTTCACCCAGGTGTCCAGGCAATGGAGGATGAAGGCCGAGGTCACAGGGACCCAGGTTGGGCGTGGTGGGAGCCAGAGGCGAAGATGAGGGTGTGGGCGGTGAACGGGGCAGAGGAGAGGAGGGAGGGGCTTTGAGGGCCTTTGGGGAGGTCCTGGTACCTGGGGAGAGGTGGGACCTGGCCCTCAGGGCTGCCTCTGGCGGGGCAGGCAGCATGACCCAGTCTCTGCCCTCCAGATAGGCTCCTACTTTGGGGCCTCCCTCTGCTCTGTGGACATGGACAGTGATGGCAGCACTGACCTGATCCTCATCGGGGCCCCCCATTACTATGAGCAGACCCGAGGGGGCCAGGTGTCCATGTGCCCCTTGCCCAGGGGGGTGAGTAGCCTATGGGACCTGGGCTGGGTGGGGTCTGGTGTGGGTGGAGGGGTCGGCCGGTTTGGGCCTGACACTGCTTGTGTTCAGCAGAGCGTGCGGTGGCAGTGTGATGCTGTTCTCCGAGGGGAGCAGGGCCACCCCTGGGGCCGCTTTGGGGCAGCCCTAACAGTGCTGAGGGACGTAAATGGGGACAAGCTGACGGATGTGGCCATCGGGGCCCCGGGAGAGCAGGAGAAACTGGGTGCTGTCTACCTGTTTCCCGGATCCTCGGGATCCAGCATCAGCCCCTCCCACAGCCAGGTGAGGCCCCCCCATCCCCTCCCCACATCTTCAGCCACTTCTAGTCCCAGCTCCTCTGGTGTCATGAGTTCGCTGAAGGCTGCCTCCTGTCTCTGTCACCATTCCCTTCCTTGTTTTAGTGATTCACCAGCTAATCACAAATCATCTCTTTTCTCTCCTTTGTTCCAGAAAGCCTTCCATCTGTGTGGGCAGTTTAATGGTTAGGAGAGCAGGTTTCGAGGTTAGAGGCCAGTTCAAATCCCTGGCCTGGCCAGCCATCCTGAGCTGTGTGACCTCCTGCAGGTGACTGACAGTCTCTGTCAGCCTTAGTTTCTTTCTATTAAACCCAGAAATGATAAAACCAACTCCTTAGGCTTCTTGTAGAAATAACAGTGAGAGTGCTAAGGCACCCAGCACCGCACTTGCTAAATATTCACGAGTGACCTAACCAGTGCCAAATACACAAATCTATTATACACCTATTGTTATACTCTTATTTCATCACCAACCTGCACCGTCATGACAGGCTGGACCCAAAGGGCTCCCTTCTCTGTATAGGGGGTCCCGAGGTCCTTACCCCATTTGCTTTCTCTTTTTTTGAGAGAGAGAGTCTCACTCTGTTGGCAGGCTGGAGTGCAGTGGCAAAATCACTGCAGCCTCCACCTCCTGGGTTCAAGCAATTCTCCTGCCTCAGCCTCCTGAGTAGCTGGGATTACAGGAGCCTGCCACCACGCCTGGCTAATTTTTATATTTTTAGTAGAGAAGGGGTTTCACGTGTTGACCAGGCTGGTCTCGAACTCTTGACCTCAGGTGATCTGTGCACCTCAGCCTCCCAAAGTGCTGGGATTACAGGTGTGAGCCACCGCGCCTGGCCATATTTGCTTTCAATTTCTATCCCCTTATCTCTCCTTCCCAATTTCTATCTTCAGATCCTCTTTCACCACAATCTCTTTTCCAAATCTCTCTTCTCAAACCTTTCCCATTGCCTCCCTTTGGCTTCCGCTTCTCCTGTCTCTCTCTGGCCAGCAGATCGCTGGAAAGATGAGGAAACCAAGACACAGAAAGATTGAATCCTTGCCCCCCGCCTCGTGGCTCAGAGGTGGAGGAGTCAGAATTGGAAGTAGAGACTGACTGAATGAATGACACTTGGGTCACCAGGACACCCTTCCAATCTCCACTCCTACATCTCTTTCTTAGCAACCATCTCCCCACCCTACCTCCTCTTTTCACGCTCTTCTTGGTGACTTCTGTTCACATCTCACCCCTTCTGTCCTTCCCCCACGGCCCTACCTCCATATTCCCCTTGTTACTTATCTCCAAGTTCTTCCCCAGCCTTCCAGCCTGATTCACCCTTTTCTCTTCTGGCCAGCGTATCATGGGCTCCCAGCTCTCCCCCAGGCTGCAGTATTTTGGGCAGGCGCTGAGCGGGGGTCAGGACCTCACCCAGGATGGACTAGTGGACCTGGTGGTGGGGGCCCGGGGCCAGGTGCTCCTGCTCAGGTAGCAACTCCCCAACTTCCCACTCTTGCCCGCTGTGTCCGATTTACTGGTGCTGCCCACTGCCCCCACCGCAGCCTCGTTCTCCTCCCAGAAGCCTGTCCTACCCCCTGCCCTTTCCTGCCCCTCAGGAGTCTGCCGGTGCTAAAAGTAGGGGTGGCCATGAGATTCAGCCCTGTGGAGGTGGCCAAGGCTGTGTACCAGTGCTGGGAAGAGGGGCCCAGCACCCTGGAAGCGGGGGAGGCCAACGTCTGTCTCACCATCCACAAAAGCACATTCGACCAGCTAGGTGCGTTTCCCCAGTAAAGGGGGCCCTGGCCCCTCATTCTATTAGGAGCCCCAATGCCGTTCTGAGATGGGATGGGCCCAGAAATCCAATCTCACCTCCACATCCACTCACCACCTGTGCCAGAAACCTGGCTCATTCTCTTCCCTCCTCCTCACACCTGGGCCTGTGGGTCCATCTCCAGGGCTGACCTAAAGTCCAACCAGTTCTCTCCCAGGCCTCAGCCACTGCCTTCCCCCAGCCCCCAATTCTCTCCCACCAACACCAGAGTCATGACATGAAGCAGTCCCCACAGCTATTCTTGCACCCTCCCACCCACTTTCCACAGAGGAACTAGAGTCAGCTGGTCCTAAAATGCAAATCTGGGTTCCTCACTCCCCTGTGTAACCCCACCTTGCATTTACAAAGACCCCAGTCCTTCCCTCTGATCCCCTCTCTGACTTGGCCTCCTGGCCTCTCTGGCCTCGTGGCATGCCACTCCCCTCACTAGGCACGCTTTTCATAAATGTGCCAGCCTTGCTCTCCTTTCTGGTATTAGGCCCTGTTCTCATGGTCCCATACGGTCTCCCCACTCCTCACCTGGCTCCTGCTCGTCCTCCGGATGGCTGCTTAGCCATGGTCCATCCAGGAGGCAGCCTAGCCAGGTCCAGCGAGTGTGCTCTCCTTAGAACCACAGGAGAGCCTTCCCTCGCACGGATCACGCTGTGACATCACCACCCATGTGCTTGGCTTCTTTCTTAGATTGTGAGGTTCATGAGAGCAGGGGCCATATCTAGCTTGCTAGCTAATCTACCAGATCTATTACATCTTTAAATCTATCATCTATCTACCAATCTATCACCTATTATCTATTATTTATCTATCTAATCTATCACCTGTCTAATCTATCATCTATCTACCAGTCTATCACCTATTTATTATCTATCATTTATCTATCTAATCTATCATCTATCTAATCTATCATCTACCAATCTGTATCACCTATCTAGTATCTATCTATCTAATCACCTATCTAATCTATCATCTACCTACCAGTCTATCACCTATTATCCATCATCTCTCTATCCATCTATCACCTATTATCTATCATCTATCTAATCACCTATCTAATCTATCATCTATCAATCTATCACCTATTATCTGTCATCTGCCTAATCTATCACCCATTCAATCTACCAAATCTACCATCTATCTACCTAATCTATCACCTATGTAACCTATCCTCTATTTATCTATTATCCATCCATCCACCATCCATCCACCCATCCATCCACCCATCATCTGTCTATCCATCTATCTTCTCCGCACGTATCCCCAGCATGTGGTACAGTTGATGGCCCGTAGAACTGTCTGGCAAAGATGTATTGCATGAACAAATAAATCAAAACAGAGCATTCTGGGTTATTCCTGCCTTTTCATTTTCCCCTTCTCCTGCACTTCAGGTGACATCCAAAGCTCCATTGGGTATGAGCTGGCACTGGACCCAGGCCGTCTGACTTCTCGTGCCATTTTTGATGGACCAAGAACCAAACTTTGACTCGAAGAAAAACCCTGGGACTGCGGGTTCACTGTGAAACCCTGAAGCTGCTTTTGCCAGTGAGGACTTTGGGTTCTGGGAAAGGGGAGGGAGGTGCAGCACAAGGCTGGCCTGGAGCAGCCCAGTTCTCCACTGAGTGAGGTGGGAAATGTTAGGATGGTGGGGCTGGAGAGAGGAAAGTTGCAGCAGGAGGACCTGGCTCCACGGCTTGGATGGGCACTGTCAGGGCAGAGGGAGTGGATGCAGTGGAGGAGGCCTTGTGGTGGAGCATGGAGAGGGCAGGGGGTTCTTGAAGCCTGTTCTCCTTTAGGATTGCGTGGAGGATGTAGTGAGCCCCATCATTCTGCACCTCAACTTCTCCTTGCTGAGAGAGCCCATCCCCTCCCCCAAGAACCTTAGCCCCATGCTGGCTGTGGGCTCACAAGTCCTCTTCACTTCCTCTGTGAGTCTTCCGATGAAGCCCCAGGGATGTGCTGACCTCATAGTGTCTCCATGTGCTTACAAGCCTACTGTAGCTCCCAATCACCCACCAACCACATCTGTCCAGAGACCTGGCTCCATCCTCTCCCCTCCTCCTCACACCCAGGCCTGGGGGTTCTGACTCCAGGACTGGCCTGAAGTCTACCCAGTTCTCTTCCTGGCCCCAGCTGCTGCCTTTCCCACGCCCCCCAATTCTCTCCCAGAGTCGTGAGATGAAGTGGTTCCCATATCTATTCTTGCACCCTCCCACACATTTTCCACGGAGGAGCAGGAGTCAGTCATTCTAAAATGCACATCTGGGCTCTTCACTCCCCTGTGGAACCTCCCTTGCATTTACAAAGACCTCAGTCCTTCCTTCTGATGCCCTCTCTGACTTGGCCTCCTGGCCTCTCTGGCTTCATGGAATCCCACTCCCCATCACTAGACACACTTTCATAAATGCACCAGCCTTGCTCTACCTTCTGGTCTTAGGCCCTGTTCCCACCTCCACCCACGTCCCCAGGCCCTGCACACATCCCAGGCGATTCCCACTTTTCCCCAGCACAGACTCATTCATCCCCAGATCCCTCCCAAGTTTTCTCATTCCCACCTCTGTGCCTTTGTCCCTGTTTTGCTTCTCATTTGGAAAACACTGCCTTCTGCCTTCTCTGCCCCTCTGTCCTCTGAAGCTCCAGCGTCACCTCCCTCTCTTCTGAAGACCACACTCATCGGCTGCCACCCCTTTCCTGGTCCCTGTTAAATCAAGGTGGTGCCACAGCAGATGCCACACGGCTATTATCATAACCATCTGCATCTACTTTTGAGGCTGTCTTGGAACTGTAGTTTCCTTGAGCATAGGAATCATGGGGAATTCCTGTCATTTCCACCTTCCCCCAGCCCTCACCCAACCCAGAACCTGCCCAATTACTGGCACTTAAGAATGTTTGTGGAATAATTGTTCCAGGATGAGCTGGAAGTGACTCAACTGAACTTTATGTCCCTTGAAGCCAAGGATCTTGTTTTATCTTTCTCATATGCCAACCTCCAAACCGCACTTCCGCCCCTCATTGGTGTCCAGCAAAGTCCTGGGGGCGGCGACTTAGTAATGCTCAATGTTGGTGGGTGTTTCTAACGAGGGGCTTGGAGAAAGACTAAGACGTAAGATGGGAACAGAATATACTGTTTTGCTGCAGCTCCCCTTTGAGAAGAACTGTGGGCAAGATGACCTCTGTGAAGGGGACCTGGGTATCACCCTCAGCTTCTCAGGGTGAGCTGTAACACCTTTCATATCCAGACACTTGAGCTTCCAAGTCCCCAGCCCTCCTGGGATGAGAAGTGCTTGTGCTGCTCTCTGGCTGTCTTTCTAACAAAGTCATGTTGCCTGGGATGTTATCAGCCCAGAGCCCTGGAGTTCCCAGTGTCCTGCCCTGCCCTTTCCAGTTCCCGCCCATTTCCAGTGGAGTCCCACTCCCAGCCTTGTCCTTCCCCCTTAGCCTGCAGACTCTGACTGTGGGGCAGTCCCTGGAGCTCAACATGATCGTGACTGTGTGGAACGCGGGTGAGGATTCCTATGGGACTGTGGTCAGCCTCTACTACCCAGCTGGGCTGTCCCACCGACGTGTGTCCAGAGCCCAGGTAACAATTGCTGCGGGCTCTAGTGGGAGGGGGCCTCTCTCCTGCCCTGCAGACCTGGGAGTTATAGAATGTTCTTTAAAATTCTGTAATATGCTTTCTCTCTCTCTCTCTCTCTCTCACACACACACACACACACACACACACACAGACAAAGTGCATAAAACATATGTACAGTTTAATGAATAATATTAAACAAACCATAGAGTTAACATCCAGGTCAAGAAATAAATCACGGCTAGCATTCCCAGTATCTTCTCCCCATGTGCCTTTCCCCATCACAGATCCACTCTCTCCCCAGAAGTCATCATTATTCTGACTTTGTGGTCATGATGTCCTTGTATTTCCCTCTCCTTCTCTCCATCCATCCCTCCTTCCCTCCCCTCCTCCCTCCCTTCGTTCCCTCCCTCCCTCTCTCTCTTTTTGAGACAGAGTCTTACTCTGTCATCCAGGCTGGAATGCAGTGGCACAATGACCATTCACTGCAGCCTACACCTCCTGGGCTCAAGCAATCCTCCCACCTCAGCCTCCTGAGTAGCTGGGACTACAGGTGCATGCTACCACCCCCAGCTAATTTATTATTTTTTATTTTATTTACTTATTTATTTATTTTTTAGAGACAGGGTTTCACCATGCTTCCCAGGCTGGTCTCAAACTCCTGGCTCAAGTAATCTTCCTACCTCAGCCTCCCAAAGTGCTAAGATTAAAGGCATGAGCCACTGTGCCTGACCATATTGTTTCTGTGTGTGGGTCTTGTTTAAAAAACACTTTCAGGTTATAAAAATAGCTCCCTGTATTATTTTCCAAATGCATCATCATTTTGCTTTTTCACATTTAAGTCTTTAATCCAGTTGGAATTTATTTTAATTTATGGAGTGAGGTAGGGATCCAATTTCTTTTTCTTCTTTCTTCATTCTCCTCCTCTTCCTCTTGTTCTTTATTTTTCTTCTTATTCTTTTTTTTCTCGGTATGAGTTCATTTTCCTGGCATTGATGGAGATTGATTGAAAAATCTGTCCTTGGCCAGGTGTGGTGGCTAACGACTGTAATCCTAGCATTTTGGGAGGCCAAGGTGGGTGGATCATCTGAGGTTAGGGGTTTGAGACCAGCCTGGCCAACATGGTGAAACCCCATCTCTACTAAAAATACAAAAATATTAGGTAGGTTTGGTGGCAGGTGCCTGTAATCCCAGCCACTCGAGAGGCTGAGGCAGAATTGCTTGAACCTGGGAGGTGGAGGTTGCAGTGAACCAAGATCACACCATTGCACTCTAGCCTGGGTGACGAGTTAGATTCCATTTCAAAAAAAGAAAAATAAAAGAAAAAGTCTGTCCTTTTCCCTACTACTCTGCGTCACCACCACTGCTGCATATCAAGCCCACACATACATGTGGGTAACTTTTTAAAATTCATTCAACTCCTCTGGAAGCAGCCCCATCCATGTGCCCTGCGCCTGGCATGTGAAGCAGTGCCCACTGAGAATGAGGGCCTGAGGAGCAGCCACTGCAGCATCAACCATCCCATCTTTCATGAGGGCTCTAATGTCAGTGCCTCCCTTAAAGTCCCCTTCACTGTCCTCCTCCCTTGTCCCAATCTGTCCCTCACTCCCCATGGCCTTCTTTTTATCTTCATTCCTTCCTCCTTCTTCCCTCAGGGCACCTTCATAGTCACATTTGATGTCTCCTACACGGCCACTGTAGGAAACAGGATGCTGATGAGGGCCAGTGCAAGCAGGTGGGTCCAGGCCAGGGGTCCCCCACCCTCCATCTCATGCCCCGGCTAGACATCCCTCTCCTGGATTCCTTCCTATTGGTCCCCCCTCTCTTTCTCCAGTGAGAACAATAAGGCTTCAAGCAGCAAGGCCACCTTCCAGCTGGAGCTCCCAGTGAAGTACGTGGTCTACACCATGATCAGCAGGTGCCCAGTCCCTGGCCCTTCCCTTGGCCCTCTGGCCTTCCTCTATGTCTGGCACCTCCCTCTGAGTCCCAGGCTGTTCTTCCAATGACATACATGTAAGCTCTCCTGTTTCGGGACGGCTTTGTGGGTGAAAAGCCATATATAATGATGTTTATGCTGCATTAAGATGTTTCTGGGCCGGGCGCTGTGGCTCATGCCTGTAATCACAGCACTTTGGAAGGCCAAGGCAGGTGGATCACCTGAGGTCAGGAATTCCAGACCAGCCTGGCCAACAGGGTGAAGCCTCGTCTCTACTAAAAATACGAAATTAATTAGCTGGGAGTGGTGGCACATGCCTGTAACCCCAGCTACTTGGGAGGCTGAGGGAGGAGAATCACTTGAATCTGGGAGGCGGAGGTTGCGGTGAGCCAAGATTACACCACTGCACCCCAGCCTGTGTGACAGAGCAAGACTGTCTAAAAAAAAAAAAAAATAGCTGGGCGTGGTGGCACATGCCTGTAATCCCAGCTATTTAGGAGGCTGAGGCAGTAGAATCTCTTGAATCAGGAGGCAGAGGCTGCATTGAGCTGAGATTGCGCCACTGCACCCCAGCCTGGGCAACAGAGCGAGGTTCAGTCTCAAAAAAAAAAGTTTCTGTCAAAGATGGACCCACATTTTATGACAATGGTCTCCTAAAATTGTACGTGAGCTGAAAAATTCCTATCACCTAGTGATGTCATAGCAGTTGTAACATTATAGTGCAACTCATTGCCGTTTTTAAAATGTCTAGACACACAAATACTTTCCATTGTGTTACAATTGCCTGCAATATCCAGTACAGTAACATGCTGCACAGGTTTGTAGGACAGGAGCAATAATAGGCTACACCGTATCACCGAGCTGTGCAGTAGGCTTTGCTACCTAGGTTTGCAAACTATAAGGTTTCACAATGATGAAATTGCCTAAGGCCAGGTGTGGGACTCACACCTGTTATCCTTGTACTTTGGGAGGCCAAGGCAGGAAGATCACCTGAGGTCAGGAGTTCAAGGCCAGCCTGGCCAACATGGTGAAACCCTGTCTCTTCCAAAAATACAAGAATTGGCTGGGCGCAGTGGCACGTGCTTATAATCCCAGCTACGGGGGAGGCTGAGGGAGGAGAATTGTTTGAACTCGGGAGGCAGAGATAGTGTTGAGCCGAGATTGCGCCATTACATTCCAGCTCTGGGTGACAGAGCAAGACTCTGTCAAAAAAAAAAAAAAAAAAAAAAAAAAAAAAGGAAGGAAGGAAGGGAGGGAGAGGAGAGAGAGAGAGAGAAATTGCCTAATGATGAATTTCTTGGAATGTATCCTTGGTGTATTTGTAACCTAATAATATATACATAGCTCTTGCTGCTTCTCTCAAATTGACTTGCTGGTGGGACACACACTTTGCCACCGTGGAGCCTTTCTCCCTCTCCCTCCAAAAGGAGAGCTGTTTCTATTTCTTTTTTTTTTTTAAACATGAAACAAATCCTGTCCTTTGTACTAAGTGTGAATGTGCTAAGGCAAAGCTGCTAGATGGAGATCAAGGCTTTTCTGAGCACCCTGAAATGGGGAGCTTGTGCCCAACAGGATATGGTCTGTCACCACACAGAGGAAAGGAAAGGTCAAGTTTCTATAAAACTCAGAGTGGGGCAGAGGTGTGAGAAACTGTTGGGAAGGTCTCTAAGAGCCCAACTGAGGCAGCACAGGAAGGGCGAGTGTAGGGCTGACAGCGAGAGGGTTCTTTGCAGAAAGGTTCGCGGTTCAGGGGCAGGCCAGGCTGGATGCAGAGTGAGGCATCCCACACACTGTGGCTGAAAGCCTGTAATACTGTCATGGGACAGAGTTTGCTACTTCTGCTTTTGTTTGTTTTGAGATGGAGTCTCACTCTGTCGCCTAGGCTGGAGGGCAGTGGTGCAATCTGGGCTCACTGCAGCCTCCACCCGCCAGGTTCAAGCAATTTTCCTGCCTCAGTCTCCCGAGTTGCTGGATTACAGGCATGTACAACCGCGCCTGGATAATTTTTGTAATTTTAATAGAGACGGGATTTCACCATGTTGGCAAGGCTGGTCTTGAACTCCTAACCTCATGTGATCCACCTGCCTCGGCCTCCCAAAGTGCTGTGATTACAGGCGTGAGCCACCATGCCTGACCGCTGTTGCTTCTGCTGTATGAAGTTGTTAGGGGAATGAGGGAGGGAGATCAAGGAGTATCATTCTCCTTTCAAGCCACATGTAAGTTTCCCTTTCTATCCATGGGAAAATACTTACAGTAAGAGCTTAGAGTTATATATACCCATGCCAGGCATCGTTTCATGTTGCTGTTGTCTTACGGTGGTTTTCTTGCATTGTCATAAGCACTTTATATGTATTTACATTTATTTGATTCTCCCAATAATTAAATTGTTATCCCCATTTTCACTGACAAAGACATCAAGAAGTGAAATACGTTGCCTCTGTCAATCTCCAAGTAAGCAACAGAACCAGGAATCAGACCCAGACGGTTTGGCTGCAGAGTCCGCGCCCACAGCCGTACATGGCATGCCCCTCTGAAGACTGGTGAAAGCTGGGTGGTTTACTTAGATCTGAAAACAGGCTTAGGCTGCACATGGTAGCTCATGCCTGTAATCCCAGAACTTTGGGAGGCCGAGTGCTGGGATTACAGGCATGAGTGGGAGGAGTGCTTGAGCCTAGGAGTTTGAGAGCAGCCTGGGCATCATAGTAAGACCTCATCTCCAACAAAAAATAAATAAAAGTGAAAATAAAATTAAATTTAAAAAATGAAAAGAGGTTTAGAACTAGATTTTAAGGTGAGAAAACAGAAGCATAGAGAGAAGGGTTTGGGGTAGGGGGCACAGAGCACAGCCAGCATACTTAGGGAAAATAAACCCTAAGATTTATGGAGGACTTCCTGTATGTTGGGCACTGCCAAGCCCTGGTCACAACTCTACTACAGGGAGATGCTATGGTTGGCATCCCTATTTTAAAGAGGGAAAAGCTACAGGCTCCAGAGACGTGAAGTGGCTTGCCTCGGTGACTCAGCTAGGAAGTGGCAGACCTGAGACGTGAACGCAGGCGGTTTGACATGGGAGCCCGTGTTCTTCGTCATCGGGCTGATGGTGGGTAGAGTGCAGGGGCCGAGTTTCTGTACGGCTGGTCTGGCTGTTGCATGCGAGGTGCAGGCTTCCCTCGGTTGGTCTGCTTGCTTTTGCCCTTTTTCTTTTTTGAGACGGTCTCACTCTGTCGCCCAGGCTGGAAGGCAGTGGTGTGGTCACAGCTCACTGCAGCCTCGACCTCCCAGGCTCACGAAATCTCCTGCCTCATCCTCCTGAGTAGCTGGGACCACAGGTGTGTACCATCATGTGCAGCTAATTTTTACTTTTTAAAATTTTTTACAGAGATGAGGTTTCTCTATGTTGTCCAGGCCAGTCTTGAACTCCTGAGCTCAAGCGATCCTAACTCTCTAAGTGTTGGGATTACAGGCGTGAGTCACCTCGCCTGGCCAGCTTGCTCATTTCTAGTAAAACTTTAGATGTTAAGTGGTGAGAGAGCAGGGAGTACGGCTTAACTGGAATCCCCAGTGCCAACACGCAGCCTGTGTTTGCTGAAGGATGGTTAGACAGATAGACCCCACCTGCCGCCTGGAACACTGATGTCCCTTCCACAGGCTTGTGTGTCCTGACACAGAACAGATTAATCTATGTTCTTCATTCCCACCATGAAGGGGCTCTCACTCAATGTCTTCCTGAGTGACCCAGCTCTCATTCCTAGAGTTCCCTTAGGCGAGCTTGTTCTGGTGCAGTCTCTGTAAGCATTACCAGAGGCCAACCACTACCTATTAGAGAAAGGAACGCAAACGCCTTTGCTCCATGGGAAAATGTTTGAACATTAGAAAGGGTGAGGCTTAAGTTGGGCCTTTAAATGTAAATTTCCAAAGGGAGAGAGAGTAAGAATGTTCCAAGAAGAGCTTGAGCAAAGTCACGAGGCTATGAAAGAGCCAGTGGTGTGCAGGGCAGAGCTAGCAGTGGTGTGCAGGGCAGAGCTAGCAGATCTGGGTGATTCGAGGGACTTCGGAGGGAGGGGAGCTGAAGCCGAGGTGGCAGAGGGTATGTGGGACCATCTTTCATTTATTTAGTTTGAATAGGGACTGGGTCTCACTATGTTGCCTTAGCTGGTCTAGAACTCCTAGGCTCAGGCGATCTTCCTGCCCTGGCCTCCCAAAGTGCTGGGATTACAGGCATGAGCCCCCACCAATAGGTGGGACTATCCTTATTTCCCTGCGACATCTGCCCGGCCCAACAGAGCTCTCTGCAGTAGGACAGGGCACAACTGGGGACAGTTTCAGGGCTGTTTTTCACCAACAGGCTCTCTCTCTCCAGGCAGGAAGAATCCACCAAATACTTGAACTTTTCAACCTTCAATGAGAAGAAAATGAAAGAGGTGGAGCATCGATACCACGTGAGAGCCTAGGGAGTATGCACGTCTGCCTTCCACAGTGTGGAGACAGCTGGGAGTTGGTGGAGAAGATGGAGAGGCGCCTCAGAGTAGGGCCAGGAGGGAAGTGGGACTTGGGAGGCTCCAGGGACCACAATAGCCCTCTGCCTTTATTTCCTGCACGTGAAAAACCTCAGCCAGCGAGGTCTGGCCATCAGCGTTAACTTCTGGGCTCCTGTCCTGCTGAACGGTGTGGCTGTGTGGGATGTGGTCGTGGAGGCCCCAGCCCAGGTACGCGCCCGCCTCTCCTCTATCTCCAGACTGGCACCCCACAGCAGTGCACTCCCTCCTACCAGGGACATGTCGCTCATTCTGTGGCTAAGTGCTTCTCTCTCTCCCCAGATTCTCCCCTGTGTATCAGAGAGAAAACTTCCCCAGCATTCTGATTTCCTGACCCAGATTTCCAGAAGTCCCATGCTGGTGAGAAGGGCCCTGAACCCCCATTGTAAGATCAGCCCCCACCGGGGTATCCCGGGAAATGTACTGCTATAACTGTCATCCTGGAAAATGTCCTATAACTGTTCATCTGTCCCCCACCCCAAACCTGACCATATTTTTTCCTATGGTTCCTTCCTCAGTGAAGAACCCCTCAGCTTCACCCCTCTTCTGCCCCCAGGACTGCTCCATTGCTGGCTGCCTGTGGTTCCGCTGCGATGTCCCCTCCTTCAGCGTCCAGGAGGAGCTGGACTTCACCCTGAAGGGCAACCTCAGCTTTGGCTGGGTCCGCCAGGTGTGTGGGTGCAATGGCAGAGCCCCTGCCCCGGACTCAGGCGGGACCTGGCGTGTCTGTGCCCATCTGCAAGCCAGGCTGTCCCCGGAGCTCTGAGCCTCCCCAGAGCCAGTTCCACAGGTTTCTCCAACCCCTTTGCAGATGTCGAGGAAGAAGGTATCAGTCGTGAGTGTGGCTGAAATTACATTCGACACATCGGTGTACTCCCAGCTTCCGATACAGGAGGCATTTATGAGCACTCAGGTAGAGACTGTGTGGGGGCAGTGGCCAGGCTGAAAAGAGGGCGACTGGGGCTCCATCTGTTGTGCTGGATGGGGGTTTGTAAGCCTGGGGGAGGAGGATGAAGGTCTCTGGGCAGGACAGCTGTCCCTAAGGGCATGGGTGCTGCTGCATCTCACCCCTTGGAGCAGGGACTAGGGGAGGAAGGGGAGGAGAGGAGGGAAATAAATGTTGGGGAACCTGGGAGGCATCTGGGATGGCAGGAGGCCGGGTGCTCTCTGATCTCTAAATCAGGTGGAGACCGTACTAGAAGAATACGAGGACTACAGTGCCATCCCCCTCATCATGGGCAGCTCTGTGGGGGGTCTGCTGCTGCTGGCGCTCATCACAGCCGCACTGTACATGAGTGTTTAATCCCGCTCTTTTTTTTTCCTTTTGTTGAGATGGAGTTTCCACTTGTTGCCCATGCTGGAGTGCAGTGGTGCAATCTCAGCTCACTGCAACCTCTGCCTCTCGGGTTCAAGTGATTCTCCTGCCTCAGCCTCCTGAGTAGCTGGGATTACAGGCGTCCACCACGATGCCCAGCTAGTTTTTTGTATTATTAGTAGCTACAGGGTTTCACCATGTTGGCCAGGCTGGTCTCGAACATCTATCCTCAGGTGATTCACCTGCCTCGGCCTCCCAAAGTGCTGGGATTACAGGCATGAACCAACTCGTCTGGGCTTATCCCACTCTTGACACCACCAGAGTCCAACCCAAGCCCTCCTACAGATAGGGTGGTATAGTGAGAACTCAGGTACTGTGGAGGCAGGCAGGCCTGGACACACATTTTGGCTCTATCATGTACTCACTGTTTAATGTTAGGCAAGTTGCACCAAATCTCTTGATCTGTTTCTCTCTCTCTCTCTTTTTTTTTTGTCTCAGTCACCCAGGCTAGAGTGCAGTGGTGCAATCTTGGCTCACTGCAATCTACACCTCCTGGGTTCAAGAGATTCTCATGCCTCAGCCTCCCAAGTAGCTGGGACTACAGGCACACACCATCCTATACAGCTGGTTTTTGCATTTTTAGTAGAGACAGGGTTTCACCATGTTGGCCAGGCTGGTCTCAAACTTCTCACCTCATGTGACCCACCTACCTTGGCCTCCCAATGTGCTGGGATTACAGGTGTGAGCCACTGCATCCGGCCGTTTCTCATTTTTGAAATGATAATATCATAGAGTGGCTGCTTATATTGTAGAGTGGCTGAAGTGAGACAGAGAGGCCAGGGCATGTGCACAGAGCAGCCTGCATCTATGCTGTCCTGCTACGGTCATCTGTGTATCTACTGTGTTCGGGGTCAGCAGATACTTGATGTATGATAACTGTTGTTCACATAAATGTTCTCGCACACAAACATGTTAGCTTAGTTGTCGTCTCCTCCTCTCTCTCAGCTTCTTCTTACTCCCAATTTTCTTCCCTGCCCTCTTCCCCAGCTTTTCTTTCTTTCTTTTTTTTTGGTATGGAGTCTTGCTCTGTCGCCCACGCTGGAGTGCAATGGCACAATCTCGGCTCACTGCAACCTCCACCTCCTGGGTTTAAGCAATTCTGCCTCAGCCTCCTGAGTAGCTGGGATTACAGGCGTGTGGCACCACACTGGGCTAATTTTTGTATTTTTAGTAGAGACGGGGTTTCACCATGTTGGCCAGGCTAGTCTCGAACTCCTGACATCAGGCGATCCACCTGCCTCAGCTTCCCAAAGTGCTGGGATTATAGGTATGAGCCACCATGCCCAGCCTTACCCAGCTTTTCTAATTTACTTTCCCTGATAGCTTGGCTTCTTCAAATGCCACTACAAGGAAACCCAAATGTGGCTTTGTCCTAATAATCCACTTTTCTGTTCATCTCTACCCCTGTGAGCTGGTCTTCCTTGCACCCATAAATCAACTTACATGGAAACAACTTCTGCATAGATCTGCACTGGCCTGAGCAACCTACCAGGTGCTAAGCACCTTCTCAGAGAGATAGAGATTCTAATATTTTTACATGTCTGTCCACCATTTTCAGCGATGACCCACTTTTTACAGAAGCAGGCACGGTACCGACATAAAATTTTATATGTATAAGAAATATCACATGAAATGAGGATGTTTATAGAACGCTTTCCTTGCATGGGAGAGTTCTAACCCAAGGACCTGAGTGACAGTCTGGGAATAGTTGGGGAAACCTATGTGTAAGCATTGAAAAAGTTCTCTCACTTTCTATGGCAACGGATGCCTGAGGTCGTCTTTTCTTTTTCTGTTTTGTTTTGTTTTGTTTTTTTCTGAGACGGAGTTTTGCTCTTGCACCCAGGCTGGAGTGCAATGGTGCGATCTCAGCTCACCGTAACCTCTGCCTTCTGGGTTCAGGCAATTCTCCTGCCTCAGCTTCCTGAGTAGCTGGGATTATAGGCACGCACCACCATGCCCAGCTAATTTTTTGTATTTTTAGTAGAGACGGGGTTTCACCATGTTGACCAGGATGGTCTCAATCTTGACCTCGTGATCCACCCGCCTCGGCCTCCCAAAGTGCTGGGATTACAGGCTTGAGCCACTGCGCCTGGCCTGTTTTTCTGGTTTTTTTTGAGACGGAGTCTTGCTCTGTCACCCAGGCTGGAGTGCAGCAGGGCAATCTTGGCTCACTGCAACCTCCGCCTCCAGAGTTCAAGCGATTCTCCTCTTCTCAGCCTCCTGAGTAGTTGGGACTACAGGCACATGCCACCAGACCAGGCTAATTTTTGTATTTTTAGTAGAGATGGGGTTTCACCATATTGGTCAGACTTGTCTTGAATTCCTGACCTTGTGATCTGCCTGCCTCGGCCTCCCAAAGTGTTCGGATTACAGGTGTGAGCCACCATGTTCAGCGCAGTCATCTTTTCTTAATGGGGCTGACAGGTGTATCGGGGAGAGGGTCAAAGAGTGTGTGTGTGTGTGTGCAGGAAGTAAAAATTGCCTTGCTGAGAGATCCTTTGTGTCAGTGCTAATTTTTCTTTGCAGCACTGAGCATCTGTTTCCAACATGAAATGTTCAGAGCTCATCTGAACTCCTGTCCCCCTTGAATGGGGTACCCAGAAGCCAGGAGAGCCAGGCTAGGAGCATGTGATTTCCTAAATGGAAGCCCCATTAAGAAAGGTCATAGAGAATGACCAAAAGATTCCAAATCCAGTATTAGGTCCCCAGGCCACACACACAGGACTGTGGAGCCTGTGTCTGAAATCCAGATAGCTGGGATTCAGAGAACCAGTGGCTCAGGTGTCAGGCAAGAAGTGGACTTCAGGATCTGCAGCCCTGGGCTCCCAGGAGAACTCTGCCAGACTGCCTGAACTTGGACAAGTCATTTAATCCCCGAGAATCTCAGGTCCTCCTTTGGAGAAGGGGAACCAAAATTATACCCTGCTCCCAGAGTTACTGTGGGGATTCAGTGTATAGGGAAGCCCATTACAGCCTAGAGCCCTAATTATTAATAGGTGTGTGTGAGAGAGAGGACTCATTATTACTAGGTGAGAGAGACAGAGCTGGGATCACCTACCTGTGCATGGGGGAGGAACACCCCTGTATCAGCGACGTGGGAAAAACACGTGGAGCGCCCACCGAGCTGTGTGCATGCGTGGAACAGGAGCGCTTACTGTACTCGGTGCCTCTGCCAGCGCTCCCCGCGGCCCGCCCTCCCCACAGAGCCGCGGACTTGAAGCTTCACACCTTTATTGCACCCGTGGGCGTCAGGGGCCTCAGGAGCTTTCGTAACCAGTGGGCAGAGGGTTGACGTGGGAATTGTGGAACAGAGTGTGGTTGCCGTCCCCCCAGGGGAAGCGCTGCGGAGAAAGCGGAAGAGGGAGGGCGCGTAAGCGCCCTGAGTCCGGCTCCGCCCCTCCCGCGCCCTCCCCCGTCCCAGTGCGCCCGTCCCTCGCCTCTACCCACGCGCCAGTCCCGCGCCCCCCGCGCGCCCGTCCCGCGTACCTTAGTGCGGATGCGGAGGTGGGGGTAAGCAATGAACTCGGGGCGCGGGCGGTGGCCTGAATGGAGATAGGCGTTGAGGGTGCAGAGGGCCACGCTCGGCAGCGCCAGCACGAAGGTCAGCAGGCGCCAGGTGCGAGCTGCGGGCGGAGCGAAGTGAATGCGGCGGGCCTGGGGGGGCGGGCCCGGGAACAGGTGGGCAGGGTCGGGGAGCCCCGGCATCCGCCCGCTCCCCACTCACCTCCTGTCCCTCCGTGGCCTTCTTTGGCAGCGCTGGCCAAGCCCCGGCTCAGGGGCCTCAGCGGCAAAGCCATGGCGGTGTGGGGAGCCGGGAACCAGTACTGTCCTGGCTCTCCTTCCTGGGGCCTGGGGTCTCCTCCCGTCTCTGGCCAATCACCTGTTGAGTGTGGAGTACAGGCGGCTATTTTTAGGGGTTTCTATATTTAAAATGGGGCCTGACTGGCTTGAGGGTGTCTCCAGACAGCTGTTGTCCTGTGCCTCTTATTTTGGCAAGGGGGCATTTAAAGTACAATGCCATTCTTTTTATATAGTTGCAGGGAAAATATTTTGTTCCCTATTCTATGCCTCGTGGCTGGCACACAGCCTTTAATAAATATTTGTAGAATGAATAAAATTGTCTTTTTGGGTCTCAGTTTTTTCAGCTGTAAAATGTATAATAATTCATACCTTAAAAGAATTTTTAAATAATAGAGACGGGGATCTCACTGTGTTGTCCAGGGTGGTCTGGAACTCTTGGGCTCATGTGATCCTCCCACCTCAGCCTCCCACAGTGCTGGGATTATAGGCATGAGCCACCACGACCGGCCCTTAAATGATTTTTATGAAGTTTATGTAAGGTAGGAATGTGTCAACCTAGATTTTGGCAGGTAATACTCGTTCAGTTTATGTAGTCACAGTTCTTTGTAAAGAACAGAACTCACTCTCACTAATTTTAAAAGATAATTGAGCATCTCAGGTAGCTCACTATGTCTAGTATGGCCAGAGAGGCCTATAGTCTGCACAGTCAGAAACAGGTCATTCTGTTGACCAGCTGCAGTGACACCCCCACAGCTCACACTGCTGGACCCTCAATGCCGAAAACTTCATTAATGCTGCCCTGGAAAGCCAGAGTCTTCCACCCTCATCCCCATGAAACCTATATCCTGGGTCACTCTCCTCTGAGTCATGTGATTGCACCCACTGGCAACCCCTAGGTGCCCAAGCTGCAGGAGGGGCTGGGAAACTGAGCTCTGGATTCTGCCTTAGGGAGGCAGGACTTGTAGGGAAAATCCCCAGGTCTAGGATGAATATTCAAAAGACTGAGCAGCCACAAGCCTGACAGGTGTCTACTGCAAAGTGCATTCTCTCGATCTGAAAACTATGACTGCTTGGAGAAAGTGAGCCTAGAAAGGGCCGGTATGAGCCCTCTATCAAAGCAGGTCATGAGAAAGCCACAAGACCAGGCAAGGATGACATGTGCCTGTTCTGCCCTCAGCACCCGGCATGGACCTTGGCATGAAGTAGGTGTTCTAAAAATAAGTATGTAATGAATGCTTGAATGTTGTTCCTTTGGTTAACCCTATAGCAATGCCTTTTCAGAATTATAATCCAATAGGTACTTCCAGGTTTTATCAAGGGTTTATGTATCTAGTATGAACTTAATATACAAAAGAAAAATGAATTATGGAGGCATATAATCTGAATTTAATTTATATAAGAAAAACAAGGAAGGTACATTTTCAAGAAGGGTCCCTATACCTGTTTCTCCGCGGCAATAAACTGAACACTAGGTTCCACCCAACTTTTTTTTTTTTTTTTTTTTTTTTTTTAAGATGGAGTTTCGCTCTTGTTACCCAGGCTGGAGTGCAACCTCCGCCTCCTGGGTTCAGGCAATTCTCCTGCCTCAGCCTCCCAAGTAGGTTCCACCCAACTTTAAGCTGCTGCTTCTACTTTTAAAAAAACTAACCTCCTTGAGCAGTCAATTGTTATACAGTGTTGCAAAATTATTCCCTCACAGTTGTTTTTCCCAGTTGGACTTTGGCATTGTTGCAGAGAAGATGGGGCCCTATTCCAGTAAGATATCTGGCATCTCCCTCCACACATAGCCCCCTCCCTACCTATATAAGATAATGGCGCCTGGAGAAAACAGAAATGAAGACAGATACTTTTATTTCAAAAAATTCTAGTGAGATGTGGTGGCTCACAGTTGTAATCCCAGCACTTTGAGGGGCCCAGGCAGGAGGACTGCTTGAGATCAGGAGTTTGAGATCAGCCTGGGCAATGTAGTGAGGCACCATCTCTTTAAAAAAAATTAGCTGGGTGTGGTGGTACATACCTGTAGTTCCAGCTATTTGGGAGGCTGAGGCAGGAGGACTGCTTGAGCCCAGGAGGAGGTTGCAATGAGCTGTGATTGTACCACTGTACTCCAGCTTGGGTGACAGAGCAAGACTGTCTCAAAAAAAAAAAAAAAAAAAAAAGAGGAAAAGGTTCTAGACTTCTTTTCTTTCCTAAAATGGCCCCTCAGAGTTTTGCTGGTCGTTGCCAAACAATTCCCTGGAAATTCCCATTCCTTTGTTCTCAGCTTGGGACCTCTCACGGAGTTTTCTTGCTGGGACATGGAAAACGGCCTGAGGGCTGTTGTAGCAAGAGCTGCGGGGAACAAACTTCTCCAACACCTAATACCGAACTTCGAAAAGAAGTGGCTTTTTATTTGGCCAGGAGCTGTGGGAGGTCTACAGCCTCATTCACTGAGCTCCCTGAGCTGCAGCTTCTCACCCTTTTTATAGGCTTATAACGCTAAAGGGGAAGCTGAGGCAGAACTATGTCATTGTCATTTGCTGGACGTCTGACTTTACAATCTTTTGGCTTCACTGATTTGCTAATTCAGCAAGGGAGGGGGGCTTACAGAGACAAAAGCAACAAGCTGTTTGTTGGCAGAGGTGTTTCCAGGAGGGCTCCTGGTCTGTGGAGATGTGGGGGCATGAACCAGTGCTGGGCTTCAGCTAGCAGAGATATCATTCATTTGCAGCTCTTTCAAGGTTAACAGGTAGCAGAGATGCTTGGAACTAAAGAGGGAGTCATTTTTCCAGCTCTTTGGTATTTTTTTTTTTTTTTTGCTTCTTCTTCACTCTCCTTTCCATCTGGAAGTGGGGGAGGGAGGAGGTGAAATTGAAGGATGCGAGAGGCTCTCTCCTCTCACTGTCACCATCACAAGGTGCACTTGCCCAGGTACCCAGAGACTGCCAGTTAGGTGGTCTGTGCTTTTCTGGGCCCATCACCGTCCTACCTCTCTACTCTCTAGAGGGCATGCAGAGCTGTCTCTTCCAGGCTGTGTACTCACCATTGTTTCAGTAAGTTCTCACTCATGCAGTTCATTAACCCGGCTGCTGCCAACGCTTTCAGTTTCTAGATGTTTAATTTTTTCTCTGCTTTAGGCAGAGGGAAGAACAAACTCACCAGGTGCTAAATAAACCCCAGAGGGAAGCAACTCAGCCTCTTTTCAGATGTATCTCAGCTGTTGGTGTAGGAGGTGGAGGCATGACTCAGGGTCAGTTTCTCCACATTTTCTAAAGCAAAGATCAACTACAACATGTGATCCACTAAGTATAAATGTTTATGGGGGCCCTAGGGACAGTGTGTTTGAAATTGGAATTGTCCTGGAAAAAGGACTGTATGGTGATACAGGACATGGGTTAGCTAGAACAAACAGGTAGAGTTGCAGCTCAGATGGCATCAAGGTGGGGCCCAGGGGCATAGTAACTAGTCTGGAGCTTGCGCTCCTCTGCCCCTGGGAGGGGCCAGTGGCTTGTATAGTGGATGTCTACGGTTTTGTGTCATATGCCCAATATATATGTCTTTTTTTTTTTCTGATACTGACATAACCCCCTACCCTCCTTTTTCTCAGTTCACAAGTTCAAGTGGGGTTGACTTCCTCCTCTAGCTCCAAGAAGGGCCACATGACCCAGGCCTAGCCAATCAGAGTATCCTATTCTCCAGGCCATAGTGATTTTTTTTTTTTTTTTTTTTTTTGAGACAGAATCTCACTCTGTCCCCCAGGCTGGAGCATAGTGGCATGATCTTGGCTCACTGCAACCTCTGCCTCAGCACCTGGGATTACAGGTGCACACCACCATGCCTGGCTATTTTTTTGTATTTTTAGTAGAGATGGGGTTTACCATGTTGGCCAGGCTGGTCTCAAACTTCTGATCTCAAGGGATCTGCCTGCCTCAGCCTCCCAAAGTGCTAGGGATTACAGGCATAAGGCACTGCACCCAGCCATAGTGATTTTTTGTTTTATTTTGAGACAGGGTCTGGCTCTGTCTCCCAGGCTGGAATGCAGTGGTGTGTTCATCGCTCATTGCAGCCTCAACCTCCTGGGCTCAAGCAATCCTCCTATGTCAGCCTCCCATGTAGCTGGACACACCACTGTGCTCTGCTAATTTTTTGTTTTTTGTAGAGATGGGTCTCACTGCTTTGCCCAGGCTGGAATGATTGTTGTAGGGAGAGGCACAAGTTCGTGAGTCCCAATTTTCAGGCCTCTTTCTTGGACTACTGAGACACAATTGTACTTCATCTGGGCTTGGAACTGCTGGAGCCTCAGGCTGGGGCCTTCAATTGAAGTCAATATTGAAGCCATTTTCAGGGCAGACCTGAAAGATGAGAGCTCTAGCCTTGTTAATATTATGTGAACCCGAGTCAACATATACCAGAATTGAGAAAGAGCTGAACCCTAAGACTCTGCAGTTATGTGAAATAGCAAATCCCCTATTTGTAAAAGCCAGCTTGAAATTGGGTTTTAAGTCCTAATTTACTGTTAAACATTTTATGTGAAGCTACAGCACATCTCTAAACTTTTACCAGCACATTTCAGATTTCTGTTCCCCTATATTGTGATCCATGTTTTATTGAAGTTTTGGGGCTTCTTTTGTAGAAATGATAGAAATGTCTTTAATAAACATTCTAGAGTCTGTATGGCTTTAATGAATTAAACCTAATGGGCACTTGATATGAAGGAATTTAATATTTGTTGAAATGAAATGAGACAAATAAATTACACATTGAGATACAGCCCAAGTTGCTAAACGTTTAAAGGCTGAGGCTTGTAATTTTATTTTCTTCCATTTCCTAATAGTGTAGTGTGACACATCACAATAAATCTCTACACCGTAACTTGATTTCTCCTGAATCTGTGTCTAATGCTGGGAACCCTGAGGTTCTGGCTGAACCCATGACACTTGCACACATGTGCTCGGTTTGCCTCATGACTGAGTCACTCGAGCCAAGACTGCAAACAGGACAGAGTTTGAAGCTGCTGCTCCTGTGGGAGGCCTATATCTCACAACCTACAAGACCAGGACCACTAGGCCAGCTGGTCTATAAAGAGCCCCTAAAATGGTAACCTATTAATCTCAAATATTTGTTTTGAGATAGAGTCTCACTGTGTTGCCCAGGCTAGAGTGCAGTGGTGTGATCTCAGCTCACTGCAGCCTCAGTAGTTGGGATTCTAGATGCCTGCCACCACACCCAGCTAATTTCTGCATTTTTAGTAGAGATGGGTTCACCATGTTGGCCAGGCTGGTCTTGAACTGCTGACCTCAGGTCATCCATCCGCTTGAGCCTCCCAAAGTGTTAGGATTGCAGGTGTGAGCCACTGTGAATGAAAATAATCTAATATTTTCTAAACCAGTATTTTGCCACCAGTAAATGCTGATTATTGAAAATATACTCAAAGGCCGTTCTGTCATATGACTGATGCTGCTGAAAATTTGATGTGACCATCTTGGCAATTTGTGGTAATCTCATGTCTACAAATGTATGGAGGTGATGCACCAGACCCAAGTCAACATTGTTTTTAGTCGCTTTTCTTTGTTACTGCTACAGAAATAACCACGGAATCACTGAATGACAGGCACAGTAACCAGGAAGACATAGATTGGGTGGGGCACCTTCACAGTCACCTTGGCTAACTTTCTGTGTATGTCCACGTTGTATCTTGGGAGGACAACAAGGATGAAAGAAATCCAAGTTTTAGCATAAAACACTTGAGCACTGGAAGTAGTTCCTTCACTTAAGTAATATTTACTGAGTGCCCACTGTAAGCCAGGCCCTGCACCAGCATCTCTGCTCTTGTGGACCTCACAGACTGCTGGAGAGACAGACAGGTTACTAGACAGACATGCCCTACATTCTCAATGCCACTGGAGCAGTTACCACATTAAGTGTGACATGAGAGGTAAGGCAGGCTCTCAGTGGAAGTGGGGCTCACATAAATGAGTAAGGCAAGTTTGGAAGACAGAAAAGGGGAAAGGTCATTTTGGGCAGTGGAAGGAAATAAATCAAGTGCAAAGGCACAGAGGTACAGTAAGCCCTAGCCAGCAAAGGCACAGAGGTCGGGTAAAGTCCAATGGAGAAGCACACGTGGCATGCTGAAGCATTTGAACCCTGTTCTGTAGGCCCTGCTGGGATTGGGGAGGGGTGGGGGAGTGGCAGGCAGGAGATGCTTTCAGGCAGTAGACTGACGTCAGATTTAGTGTTGCAGTCTGGAGTCTAGGGGAGGAATCTATAATAACTGGTAGGTTCTATGGATGATGAACCAGAATGCAGAGGCGGGAAGCAGGGGAGACTGACTAGGAGTCTTCTGCAATAGTCCAGGCTCATGATGACAAGGACTTGCACCTGTGGGACAGCACAGGCAACAGAGGGCACAGGGTTCCATCAAAAACTTTTTTGAGGTAGAACAAGTAGACGGTGATACCCAATACTACTTGGGTTGAGAGAAAGGCATCAAGGACTGGGGTAACAAGCTTGGAAACTGAACCGGTAATGCTACCAACAGACTTTCATGCAGTTTAAATTCTCATAGGGTAACTTTTTTTCTCACTCTAATAGCGCATTGTTAAGACAATCAACAAACACTAAAAAGCACAAGAGAGGCTGGGTGCAGTGGCTCATGCCTGTAATCCCAGCACTTTGGAAGGCTGAGACAGGCAGGATCACCTGAGGTCAGGAGTTCAAGACCAGCCTGGCTACCATAGTCAAACCTCGTTTCTACTAATAATACAAAAATTACAGGGGTGGTGCACGCCTGTAATTCCAGCTACTCCGGAGGCTGAGGTAGGAGAATCGTTTGAACCTGGGAGGCGGGGGTTGCACTGAGCAGAGATCATGCCACTGCACTGCAGCCTAGGTGACAGAGCAAGACTCGGTCTCCCAAAAAAAAAAAAAAAAAAAGAGAGAAATAATATTAATCACTAATATTAAGACAGCACAATATTATTCTTGTCCACACCAGGAATATACCTTGTATGTTAATTATTACTTCGATAACATACCTTTGCCTACTATCTACCTAAATCCTTTTGTTATTTTAGTTTTTTTTAAGAGACAGGGTCTCACTCTGTGGCCTAGGTTGGGGTGCAATGGCCTGATTATAGCTTACTGCAGCCTTGAACTCTCCAGCTCAAGCGATGCTTCCTCCTGAGTAGCTGGGACTATAGGCCAGCACCACCACACCAGCTCGCTTTATTTTTATTTCATATTCCATGAAAAAAAATTCATATTTTTATTTTATTTCTCGCTTGCTGCCCAGGCTGGTCTCTTTGGGCTCAAGGGATCCTCTCACCTCGGTCTCCTAAAGTGCTGGGATTACGGGAGTGGGTCACTGCCCCCAGCCTCACCTGCCTAAATGCCTTAATGTAGCGAGAATAATTCAGGGGGAAAAAACAAAATAGCCCGCAGCACTTCTGAGCAAGATCTGCGGTACAGAAAAGCCGTTCTGAGCCGGTCTGTGTGGAGGGGAGGGAGTGCATTTCGGAGCCAGTCCCCCAGGAGTTACAACTCTCCACCCAGTGCTGCAGCACGCTGGTTCTTGGGTGTCCGGCCAGGTTGGACCTACGGCTGGAGGCCTTCCTACACTGGAGACACTGGTAGGGCTCCTCTCCAGGGTGGGCTCGAGGGCGGCAGAGGAGCTTGGCGCTGTCGCCGAAGCCTGGCCCAGCCTTGCTGAGCGGTGAGGCCGCTCTATGCTGCGAGGCCTCCCGAGCTGGCTCAGGGCAGCCTAGGGCCTGAACCGCCACCCGCGAGTCCAGTCCCGCAATCGCACAGCTTCTGGGCCCCATCGCCTTCGCCTGCTGAGCTGCCGGCTGGGTGGCTGGCGGCACCTGGGTAACTTCCAGGCCTCCCAGAGGCACTGAGGGCTGGAAACCGCCACTCCCGGGGTGCATGTGCGGGGCAGCCGCGGCCGCCCTCCGCAGGAGATTGGAGGATGGAGAGCCCCAAGGGCGGCGGCGGTGCTGGCCCGACCCTTCCCTCCCGATAATACCGACCTGCGCGCCGGGTTCACGGAGCGCCCCACCAAGCCTCGCCGGGACTGGGGTCGAGGGACTCGGCGGAGGCACTGGGACCCGGCTGCGGCCCTTTTCTCGTTTTTTTTTTCTGACACGGAGTCTCACTCTGTTGCCCAGATTGGAGGGCAGAGTGAGATCTCTGTTCACTACAACCTCCGCCTCCCGGATTCAAGCAATTCTCTTGCCTCAGCCTCCTGAGTAGCTAGAACCACAGGCGTCGTCCACCACGCCCACCTAAATTTTGTGTTTTTAGTAGAGATAGGGTTTCACTATGTTGGACAGGCTGGTCTCGAACTCCTGACCTCGTGATCCGCCCGCCTCGGCCTCCCAATGTGTTGGGATTACAGGCATAAGCCACTGCGCCCGGCCCCTTCGCTTGCTCTTACCCGGTGAGGTCCCGTGCCCGCGTGCCTCTTGCATGACACTTGGGCACGAGGCCGAGCCGGTAGCGCCCCTGCCCAGCTAACGACCCCGGAAAGACACCACGGCTCGGAAAGCCGCCAGGCGTGCAGCTCCAGGAAGAGGATGCGGCGAGGGCCCGGCCGCCGCGGGGCCTGCCGGGAAACGTGGTCCCCGCAAGGGACCCTGGGGGCTAGGGCGCCCCGGCCCGGCGTCCTGAACTCACGCCCCTGGACTAAGATGCCGGGGGTCCCAGGCCCCCTCTCTAGCTTCAGTCATGGGGTG